ACTCACATGTGAGCAAGAATTGTAGAAAAAGGAGACATCAAAAATTGAAACTAACCCCTGAGATGTTTTTAAATCAGTGCATGAATCACATTCATTAGTTTGGACAAGCCCTTTGGAGCTGCTGACAGCCCCTGTCTCTCCAACCCTCCCTCCATTTCTTTCCTTTTCACACTCCCACTTATCCCAAAAACAGCTTCCTCAGACTGCTGACAGACTCGTGAAGAAACAGTCAGAACGACATGCTGGCTCTGGTTACTGTAGCCTACTAAAACAACAAGCAATACACATCATGTTCCTCATTTTCATCACCAGGTGCCACTTAGATACATATCAAATCAATCGACCTCCCCTCCTCCTCCTCCTCACACCACCTGAGTATACTTGACAGTTTTATAGCTGTATTAGTTTGCGTGTGTGAAAAATCCATCAACCCTGATATACCCTAGCTTCAGAAGCGCAATTTATTAATTTCTTCAGAGGCAGACACAGCATCATCTCATCTAAGTATTTCTCCAAACAGATCCTGCATGTTCTCCACTGCAGCCAGGGTGAAAGATGCCAATATAACCTAGAGGGATCAGAGACTGAACAGACCAGACTGAACAAACCTCTGATTTTCTGTTTCTTTTGATCTACATTTGCAGCCAAACCATGACAGCATTTTCCTCAACATAGCAAACTCAGAACTCATTAGCTCCTTGTCAAAGACATAAACTCTAGGGAAAGAAGGCTAACTTTTCAGGACTTCAAGTGAAACTAGTGATAAGTGTTTAAGGACATTTGGCTAATTTGACCACTGTTTACAGTAAGACTGGCTATTTTTAGTCTGCACCTGCACCTGAGGTTTGTAAACATGACAAGCTTGCAATGTCTGTGGACTCTATGGTCTGTAAAGCATGATGGCTTACTCGTGTTCTCATCTGCTAACACACTGCTTTTCTGTTTTTTGGACACACAATTGTCTGACTGTGAGGCTATTTCCTCACTGATCAACAGCCCAACCATCTCTTTTGAAAATGTTATCAAATCCTCCCAGCGGTGTGTGATTTCTTTGTTTTTGCCATAAGCACTTAATAATTTGCTTTTAATCTTCTCCCTAGCAGCTCAGATATTTTTCTCAGGCTTGGATGATTTCTGAGTTGCAGCTAGAATCAAATGTATTCAAATTTATTTGAGAACAGTGATCATACAGTTGCAGACAGACATGAGAAATTCATACAAACTTTTAACCTGCAGATGCAGTGATCAACTGAATTTACAGACAGTGTTTTTTTAAGTGATTTTGAGGCCCAGAAATGAATGATTTTTATTCCTCAAGCCTTCACAACCGGTCCCTCTGGATTCTGTTATCATGCAAGTGGGTTCTGAACATTTTAAACCTTGATTTTTTTTTCTTCATGCAACATTATTAATGGTCTTTAAAATGCGTTCCTTGTGTCATTTTTAAAGACTTTTCTTCGGCAGAGCTTCAGTAGCTCATAAGAAATTTGCCTCTGAGTCGTGGGTGGAGACAGCGCTGCTCTACACACTCCTCCTCATACTAGTTTGCAGCCCATCATTGCTGGTGTAGTAGAAGTGGCAGGTAACATAGGAGCTATTCAACTCTCGGACACTATTGTCTTTAGGGGCGTGATAAAAGCTAATATCATAGTTAACTTTCTTATGAGCATTGCAATCGCACACGCTAACGCACATGCTTGTTCCGCGATAGTCCTCTCTACTTCTTCGTGTCTGGCCTGCAAAGCGGGACTCCAGGGGCAGAGCTTGGAATTGTGACATAGGAAATCTCACTGTTTATGAGCCTGTCGCTTAGGTCTGTGAAAGGTTCGCAGCAATTTGAATACAGAAATACTTAAAAATGCTGTTTCGCACTTACTTTTCTCATGATATGTCCTGTAGCATTCGAAAAATGCCATATGTACATGTGAAAAACAAGAAAAACATGATTTTTATAAGATTGGGTCTGTAACATTTGTGCATGAATCCTTAGCACCATAGCTGCTGTTAATTAAGTAGAGGAGAAATAAAAGCTGGGTTATTACTTACAAGGAAAGTAAATAAACTGAAGGAAGAAAACACATGGAGTGATCAGAATGAGAGAAGCAAGCTGAGGTGATTGCTAAAGAGACACAGCTGGAACTTGGACTCGCTACAGGGTAGAAATGAATGTTAATACATGTACAAGAGACACTGCAGTATGAAAGGTAATCTGAAATAAAAGAGGATGTTAGCAATGAAAAATAAAACGAAGAATGATTTGCACACATAACTCAAAACAGAGAACACAAGGACAAGTAGAGAGAATTATCAAAGTCACACTGACATGAAGCTGTTATCCCACAGCATCTGCTAATTAAAGTTAGGTTAATTATAAGCTATTAGCCATTACCCCTTTGCTTTATCTGACTAAGTAGCCAAGAGTGGAGCAGAGGTGGGTTTCAACTCTTAATCTGTAACATGAATGAGTGCCATGAATAAGTTACTTGTGGGTGCACTAGGTAAATATTCATGGTTCTGCAGTGTGTCAAAGAAGAAGAATCGATTGATGTAATATTGAGAATTTTCAGCAGTAAATTACTTTTCCTTTTTTTTTTTTTTTTATTAAGGAAGACCAGAGTTGACAACTGCCAGATTGCCTGACAATGATCTTGTGTGGACAGATGAGACAAACTGCACATCTGACAGGTCACAAGCCACACTGTTAAAGACAGAGGAAGTGGGTAAATGGACTCACAAACATCACAAAGAGAGAATTATACATCATGAACATTAATCTGACCATTGCATGGTCAGACTTTAACAGCCTGTGCTGTAGTAGTGCGATGCATTAAGGTCGAACTTGACATGAAATGACACACTGCTGTGAGGAACAGACAGGTACTCTTCATTTGGAAACACCAAATTCTGCTTTAACAAAACATGCAGTTATGATGTATAAATATAAGTACTCACAAAGACAACATGTGTTGGCAGAAGGTTCACTTTATGATAATACTTCATGGTAATTTAAGGTCAAAAATCCATGTACATTCACAGACAAAACAACAAATAAATACTTTCATGTAAAATAGAGCATTTATAATGACATCATAGTTGTTAAATTCAATGGTACATTTTCAGTTATTTGATTAAAATGAAACAAATGTGTAAAGTACGATAAATACACTTCAATATCTTAATAGTCCCTTCATTTATGGCACCTGAGAACTTTACTGACAGAACTAAGTTTTGACATTCACAATGAGAAGTGCATTTTTAGGTTGCAAATGTTAAGGCACAATTTGTTTACTTCCCTTTCTTAAGGACAGATTTTCTACCAGCATAGTGGCACATCAAGACAGTGAAATTCCCTTTGGCAGTAATTGCATTTTATCACATCAGTTCATGAAATAGCACAGTATAAAGACAGTCTTATAAAACAACATATGGCCTCTTAAAAAGCTTTAAATACAATGTACCCCAAATATCTAGACTACGCAAGGTAAAGGCTTTAAGAATGTAAAAATGTGTTTCTGTGTATTTGTCTTTACTATTTAAATCTGTCTATCAATGTTTCTGCAAAAAGCCTGTTCACTGCATTAAAAGGCATAAATCACAAAAGTACCCTGGTATTGTCAGAAAAAAAAAAAAAAAGTCTGATAGCTAATCTGAAAAAAATGTCAAGGCGGATGCGTCAATACAAAAAAGGAGAGAGGTGTATGAAGCACAGAAGCCAACTGTTTACTGCCCAGGCAGCAGCTGGACAGAAATCATACAGCGGCACCTGTGAGCTATACAGTCTGAGAGGTGTCCCCAGGGCCAGATCAGTGCATCAGATCTCCTGTGTATCCTCTATTGTCCGGAGGTGAAGTCTGTCTTTAAAGCTGCCCCAGATAAGATAACCTGTCTGGTTCGTAAAAGCTAGAGGCTAATGGCTCTCTCTGGTCACTACCAGAGAGGTATGCATGAGCACAGAAAGCTTGGCCGGTCTCTCAGATGTCTGGCAGAATAATCTCTTTTCAGCTCTTGTAGCCTATAGCATTTCCTTATGATCCAGTAAAGTGTTCTGGTATGTTGGTGTTCGAGTAAACATCTTACTTCCTCCCTGTGTTTGGCCTAAATCCCACTTCCACAGCTCCTTAATTACTCCTCCTGATTTACTTTTGATTCTTAAAAGCCTTAAAGGATGTGCTAGTATCATATTCACACTAGATTTTCCCTACTTAAACTATTTTTTTTCTTTCAAATCAGCCTACAGCATGAGTCAATCTTCTTAAAATCTAATTTAGGATTGGAGTGATGCTGTTGGATGGATCGTTAAAATGTTCAAACTGCACACCCACACTTCCTTCTCCCTGTCCAGTTCTATAAATGCTTACTGTCGCAGTTGCCTGATCTAGTTGGTTTATAATCCCCTATTTTGTATTTGTCTGGCTACATAGTAAATACCTGTACATAATATGTTTAGAGTAAACCAAGGTAGAAGGTGTCCCTGTGTGGCACTACGGCACAAAGTTTCTAAGACCACCATGGATTGCAGCAGCCCAATAAGTGTAATGAGCAGGAAGACAGTTTCCTGCAACGTAGAAGTGGAAAGAATATAGGACTGGGAAATACATTTACAAAAAAAAAAAAGAAAGAAAGTAAAAACCTCACTAAAGGAAACTTGTAAAAGGAGCTGCCCAACAGCACTCAGTGTTAAACAGATCTAACTGGACATATACTGTATAATGTTATAGTAACAAACACAACTTATTGAAAGGATCTCAAAAGCAACATATGGCTTAACGTGTGGCGTGATAATATTTCTAATAAGTCCAAATATGAAAAATGTTAAATTACATCATACAAAAATAAATGGAGAGTAAAATAAATAAGTCATTCTTTTCCTGCTATATACAGTACTTACACCAAACTAATTTACATTATACACACACAAGAGTAAAAGAGGTCACGTGAGGGGACGGGTCTGTAGCACCAAAAGATGAGGAAGACTTGGACTCATGAAGCACCTTTGGGTGTTACTTAGTTTCCACTGTAACAGGCAGACTGGAGCCGGATGATGGCGTACATTTACCACAGTAGCCTCCACACTTTCCTGACACTCTGCTGCCATCCTGTGGACACAATAATATCAATTATGTGGGGTTTTCTGCGCATGAGAGCGTCAGCAACATTTGAAATATAGTCACATGAATGTTGATTTTATGATAGCCTTTTTAAGGATTGAAGGCTGTTCATGTTCAGATAAAAAACCCAAATAAAGACCTTCTCAGATATACTGACTCCAGTCAGCAGTCTAAATGGTCAAAGTTAGACAAATGCGAGTTCAGGGAATTTCTTTTGCCTCTTCTAAATTGTGTAAGAATCCCATTACTGTTTAACGAATTTGCAGGAGGGTTGATTTGGTGGCTCTGAGATTGGCTTTCCCTTTACAATAAACACAAAGACTGAGGCCCTATAGGCAGTTTGTTTTCAGGTCTGAATCGAGTAATCACTCTCAGATATAAGCAGCAACTACAGGCTAATTTAATCACTGACACTTCAGCTGCATGGTTATCAACTGGCACAATGAGTGCTTTCACCTAAACAGAAGAGTATAGTTAAAGTTCTATCCCATGAAATGAAAGCTGCAGCGTGAAATGAGTGGTGTGTTTCATCAAGATTTGAGTGTTTTCGCTGTCCCGCTGCCATGCTCTGGCTTTATTTAAGTGCCTAGAGCAGATCTGCCGGCTATGAACATTAGACTCTGATCCCTATTTGGCTTCACAAGTGTCTCATGTTATTTCCGCAACAAAAAGCACTCTCCAGCATGATCTCCATTTCAAAAGAGGAGGAGGATTGAGTAGGGGGGCACTTGAGAGAGCAGCTGCCCAATAAGGGCCTTTCTCAGTGTATGGGGAGAATATAGAGCCCACTAGGGACCATGATTGCTTGGAGCTCTGAATTGAGTAGGTAACAGACAAGATTAGAGAAGATGAAGCGGTACAATAACAGACATGGGTAAAACATAGGTCACAGAGTGTGATAGCCTGTGATCAGGCCAATATATATTGAGGAACTTTTGGTTGCTTATTGATTTTGTTCAGTTTGTGGTTGAAGCAGCAGTATCATTTATTATTAACCACCATTTTTCTACACTTATGGGGTAAGGGCTGTACCCTTAGTTACATGACAAATGTTTTAAAGCCAAACAACTCGGTGTAATAATTTTTAAAGAGCTAACTAAAATAGCTGTTTTTATGATTACATTTCAATTTTCACTTTTAGATATATATATGTGTAGAAGCTAATACATGATGTTTGAGGATCTTTAACTCTGTGCTGTCACTACGGCTTCACAGTGCAGAGAGTTATTTTTTGTTCCTTCTGTCCTCTAAGTCAGTTACTTCTTGCAAAATATGTTGACATTGTTCTGGTGTCATTATTCCATGGTCATTATTGGATTTTTGCTCATCTCTATGATGTTCAAGATAATGCAGACCATGAGAGTTGAGGTAATGAGATTATATAGTCTATGTGTGTCACCTTCTTAATGATGTCCAATGTGTCTTCATAGCTGAGGAAACACTGTTTTATGTGAGCTCAGTGTCTGATCTCAGCTAAATACTAATGATGAGACGGAGAAGTCTCAGACAGAGCTGGCGCTGAGTTACTAAGAGTGTTGTGGGGGTACGATAAGCCTTTATGGAAACACCTTTATATTAAATTATCAACCAATAGTTTGACTTTATTCAAGGTGTTTTTTTTTCCACTCTTTTGCCATACCTGTGATTTTTGCACATCAACCACTGCATAGTTGCCCTGGGAGATCCACGAGGCACCCTCAGCCACCCTCAAACCTGTTCCTGAGAGGTTAATCCTGAACTGCCCCTAAAAAGACAAGTGAACAAGGAGAGAGAAAGAGAATACAAACAGATTAAGATTTAAAAACAGATTAAAAGACATCTAAAGTATTGAAAACTGTCAGTGTTATTTTAAAAAGAGATTAATGATTGTCAAATCAACATAAAGCATGGCTTGTTGCAAAAACAGGCCACTAAGTCTGCACAGACTTTCTTTGCTCGAATCTATTGTCTATATTTTGCCCCCACACAGTGAGGAGCAGGTCGCCCTCATTAAACAGTTTGTAAACCAGAATAAACAGATAACTCTGCCACATTTAAATAGGTGTGAATACAGAGTCAAAGAACACTTCTTAATTGACTCTGTGTTTTATGTGATGTAAATGATACATCTGCTGTATGGGCTTTATAGTACTAGCTTGGGAATAGCAATGTGAACACAAAACAATACGTGATAAATTCAGACTCACTGCCCTTATTTTAGGCAATGAATATGAAAACTAAAAACATTTTAGCATTATATTTGTTAAAGAAGAAATGCAGAAAACACAAAACATTATAACACACAGGCGTGTCTGTATTGAAGAATTTTTGGATGATGAAATGACATAAGAGGATAGGATACATAAAAGATTCATGCGATTTTTTTCCAACTTTAAAAAGTCACTAATCTGCTGTGAAAAACACAATCTGCATCCTCCTGTGATTTAATGAGCAGCTGCTGCTTCTGTAGTTGTTCTCACCTGTGGACAGCGAGCTCCACTGTAGCAGTCTCCAGCTGTAGCAAAAGGGACACTTTTGCCTTCACGGGTGAAAGCAAACTTCCAATCTGTTGCTGGATAACAAGATAAACCAACAGAGTGAGCAAGTAGAGCTTAACAAATGTCTCAGAAATTTATATGTTGTAATTTGTTGCTACAAGACCTCAGATGAACTTTAAAATGAAAGCTTACGTCTGAGATAATAACCAACACTTGTGTTATTGAAATAGCTTTATTTTCAGGGGCAGCCTGATATCAACATAATATCATCTACTTAGAGCAGCTTAATTTGAACCCTCTCATGGCTTGTAATTGCGTGTAACTCAAATGATCCTTTAGGACATCTTGAGCCCATTAAGGCTTGTGAGCGCGGACATAATTAAATGGCAAAGGAAGTTCTTGTTTAACTGTAATGTGGAGTTAAAACTGGTACAGGATGCGGTTTTGTTTTTGAGTGTGCATCTGAGTTTTTGCATGTGTAAGAGTCACTCACTGATGATGTTCATATTGCTGAGGTCCAGGCGGACTTTGGAGAAGGTGGTTATGCCAGCGGCGGTGTAGTCTCTCCGACAGTCACAATCCTCTCTTCTTGAGCCATTGGCTGGACACTGGGTGGGGTCATTGAGCCTGGGAAAACACACAGCAACGCATACACACAAGATACCTGAGCTCAACTTTACACTTCCATGGAATTCATTAATTTAAAGACAAAAACACTGCGAGGAGTAAGCTGGATTTTGTAATGAGCAGGCTGGTCTCATTGTTATCCTGTTAGCTATTTACCTAAAGGCAAAGATCTCTGAGAAATTCTCCCCTTCTCCAGTCGTCAAGGAAATGTACTCCTGTGGAGCCTCTGTCTGCATTCCTGCACAGTAGACCTGAGGAGAAAAAGGCAGAGGAGGAGGAGGAAGAAGAGAAGAGATGGCAAAAGGGGGTGAAAGTGAAAGAGGTGGTACAGAAAAAAAAAGAGAACCTTAGTGGTGTTAAAGAGAAGGGGCAAGTGGAAATGATTAGATGGCAATTATAAGCTACCACACAGAAGCTGCAGCATAAATGGAGAAACCCGCTGCACAAAACCCCTTAAAACAATCCGCTGCACCTTTTTGCAACCTTGAGGGCCAAGACTATCATTCCCCTTCCCTTTATTTTTCTCTCAAACCTCTAACATGCTTGTTCATATACTGAAGGCTAGGTGCAGAAATATTCTCAATTATCTTTTATTTTAAGACCATAAACTATAACTGCTATACACTATAACTATAATGATATAATTATAACATTCAACAAACATGAGACTACATTTCAGAAATAGTCCCATCAAAGACAGATGACTTTTCACATTTTAAGATGTACTGTGCAGAAGGGGGACCATTAAGACCATCAAGACCATCAAGACCCTCTAATGCGTAAACTCAAGGCTGGGTTTTGGTCTTTTCAGAAAGGATTTAAAACATTCAAGCTGACAAAATTTTTCAATTTCAAATCAAACTGAAGATTTTTTTGTAGGTGAAAGGTGCATTGTCCCCAAAGTCTTTCTTTCCCAACTCTGGGAATCACAAACTGCACAATATCCAATTCATAAAGACTCTGTTTTACATCTCTTGAGATTTAAAGGGAGGAAAAGAAGTTCAGAGTTTTGCCCTGACTGGCTCAGTAAATAATTATATACCAATGCCTGAGCAGGCATGGAGTAGTCCAACTGACTTTGTGTAGTCTCAAAAACAGTGGTGAGTAAGACAGTCACTGTTTGTAATAAATCTCAGTGCAGTGTGATACTCATTGTCCAGCATATGATGACATTGAGTAGAGCCATTCAAGCACAGCTCATGATTCTCAGGTATGGTAGCATCTTTTTAAAAAGGAAAGGCAGAGTTCACAACATTCTCTCCGAGAGAATTTATGAAAATTGTAAATTAAAGTGGTCCCAGCACTGAACCTTGTGGTTCACCCCCAGGTAACACTGCACAATTGGACAGCTTGGGCTGTACAAATAAGAGACTCTGGAAACTCCGTAGCTTCAAGATGTTTTTGTAAGTTGCTGTGCTCAACATTTTAAGGATCTTGGAGAGGAAGTCTTTTATGAAAGGCTATCATAAATCATCTTACATGTACTGTCACTGCCTTTAAAGCATGTATAAAGGTTTCTTCAGTTTGGCAAGGTTGGGATGTGACATTGACTGAGAATTAAAAGGGGTAGCATAGCCAGTCATGTGTGGTGTGAGGCAAAATTACTGTTGGTGTCAGAAAAGAGCATTGTTATGGCTATCCATAGTGTGACACAATTAAAACAAGAAAGTTACTCCTTATGATTAAGAGTGTTTCAAAAGGGCTACTGGAATTGCAATTGTGCCATTGTGACCTATTTATCTGTCAGTCCATGTTTGTCAAAAATAAGAACCCCAAAAAAGTAAGAAACATTGCCCATGTTTGAAATGGCAGTCATAATTAAAGGCTTTATGTTGTACATTTGTCTACAGTAAGGTCATATCATTTTACCTTGATCGCCTTTCCATGAATATTGAGAAGGTGTTCGCTGTCCGGGAGGGGACCATTCATGCTTTGGACATCCAGACAGCTAGAAGGCAAGTGGCCTTAAAAACAAAGCAGATACAAGCATAAGTTGACGTACAGAATTGTACTGCTGAATGATTTAAAACAGGACAGGCACCAACACAAAGCCTTTATATACACACATGAGAATGCATGCACAGAAAAATTCCAAGAGTTTAGTGAAGTGCGGCAAATTGCTGCAACGAATCAAAGAAAACGAAAAGCCACCCACTCTTTGATGTCCCATCCTACCGCGAGGAGGTAAATACACTGGACAGTGGATCTTTGATGTTTGCCTCAGATCATAAATATTTCCCTGAAGGCCTATTCCCTGGATGACCGGTTCAAGCCAAGCCATGCCTAATAGTAAAATCTGGGATGCATTCGCTTTCCCCACTGGAAACTCTGGTAGCTTTGACCTTCTGTATAGGAATGGCAGTATTCTTGCATAACTTACAGCTTAGATTTCTGCAGACTTTTCTGGCCTCTGGAATTGCATCTAGGGAACACTTATTGCTTTGCTGGCCATCCACTGACAAACACTGCACCGTCCGCTCAGTCACTCCTTCTCCACAGCTGGCTGAACACTGAAAGGGAGGAAGAGAGGCAAAAGGTGGAAAAAAAGGGTGATTAGAGTTTTTTTTTATATTCATCATTAAAATGTTTGTTTTATTTGGCAGGTGCTTTTGTCTAAACGCCATAAACTGCATCAAGTCCAACTAGACAGAGGTGTTGACATGAGTCAAGAGGCAATACAACATATATAAGCAGGTGTTTTTTGTTTGTTTGTTTTTTAACCAAGCATGCAAACTGAATGTTAACACTTGTTTGTAACTCTTCGCATTTTTTGCAGTGTGCACAAACTGCAAATGTACATAAATAATGACAGATATTGAGGCACTTGTCAGCAGCTACTTTTACACATTGAGTGCTCTACATGAACTTGTTTTTTTTTTTTCAAATGAAAAGTCACCAATTGCAGAAAGCTTAAACTAAACTAAACATGCAATGAGGCTTAGATATTTTATAACTTTAACACAGGTGTCGGGGTTATATTTGAAGATCCAAAAATGCTTGCATAGACCTGTACAACATTCACAGTTTGCTTACCGGACCCCAGATTCCAACTCTCCACTCCTGTGGAGGCGGGCAGGGGCCCAAATTACAAGGCATGAAGCTTTCAGGCGGGGTCCCTGGACAGTTAGACAGAGACTGATGGCCGTACTCATAGTTGTCATTCTCCACATGCACTTCGCTGCAGGAGATCAGACGTTGACGGTAGCCCTGGCCACAGCTGGATGAGCACTGGAGGAGAGAATAAATCACTGGCATGAAATAACAACAGAGCTCCACACAGGAAACATGGGTAATTTCTGTCATTTCTGCATCACTGGATTTGAAGATGGTGATTCACATGAATGAGCTCCTCGAAAAGTAAAATATTACTATCAAAGAAAACTGCTTTTGAACAACTCAGACCTTAAAGCCTTTAAGTAAGAAAATGATCTTTCAACAGCACACTGCTTCTCTTATCCTCACCTCAGTCCACTCCCCTGTGATCCAGATGAACTCACAGGCCTGGGTGTTACAGCTCTCTATGTCTGGAGGTCTGATCTGGTTCACACAGTAGATCTCATGTACCTCCTGCTGGTTGTGGTCTACACACTGCAGGGCTCGTCTTCGGTGGCCTTCTCCACAGGACTTACTACACTGTAATGGATTCAAGACAGAGACAAGCCTTTAGCAAACACTGCAAATCAAGTAGGAGTTGTGTTTTAGACATCCTTATTCTATACAAATATGTTTTCCAGTTCGATGAAATTGGACCTAATAATACAGCGCATGCAGAGAAGAACAAGGAGAAACAGTTCGACTTGTGACTTTCTATATGGAAGCAGCTTAACCGTAAAGAGGCTGAAGAGAAGGATACAATTGCTTAATCTATACTTTGTAAGGAAACACCTGGGACCTGATTCATGAAGGGATAGCAGAGCTTTTGCATTGCTAACCTAGTTAAAAAAAGACAAAACGGACCCATGCAATTCACAAAACACACACAAAGGGTTGAATGTACTTCAACTGGCACTACAGAACAAATACTACCTCTGAGCAGTCATGCTGTTGGCGTGTATTGAAATGACCTGTCCATTTGGGGTCCATTGGCTACTTTATATGCAAATACATATGGGCCATCTCACAAACTTGTGCAGCAGAGAGTGGATATGCCAAGTGCCAACAGCTCATCTCTAAAATAGGATGCAACACAAGAGCAAACTGCACTGAGCTGCAAGAACTTGAATGGTGTGTTTGTACTTGAATATCATAAGGGAAAAATGTCTTGTGAACTGAAATAATGAAACTGCGCGGGCAAGAACTGTTCACAGTAGCCCCCAACTTCACTTAACATAGTGCTTGTGCACAAGTCTATTTGCGGCCACAGTCCTTTCTGAAGGAACTTGCCTCTGTGGTTTTTGATCAGAAGGACCTGAGCTGAGTACACTCCAGGCCTGGAGTAGAAATTTTACATCAACTCTATATTTAACATGAGAAGTTAAATAAAAGTTAAGATCAGTCGGGTAAGAGGGTGCCTTGTGTGCTAATACAAAAATGGTGCTTATTTGGCAGTTTTTCCTTTTCTTTTTAGTCAGTGTGGAGCATTGATACATAAAGGCATAAAGACTGCAGCAGAAAATACAAGCTTGTTATTGACAGGAACCAGCTGTGCCCTGTGCCTTGATAAGAGACCATAATTCTGCAGAAAAACGGCAATGTGTGGAGTATTATGGAAGAGAAGGTATGAAAGTTTTAATAATGACCAAGGCAATACTGGCTTTTTCTTTTTTGTCAAAGTGTTTAAACTCAGTATCTTCTGCAATGGCTTTATACTTAACAGACGTGAAACCTTTCATCCAAATAGAAATAAAGCATGTTAGCGCATTTCAAAAGAACGTGACTATCACCTGCCATGTTTGCTGATTTTGTTCATGGCATTTTATAAAATGTAAGACTTTCAATAAACACTTATTTGACTGCAAGTTCAGAGTCAACAAACCCACCTGAGTCTGGATGTCCCACTTTACACATGTGGTAATTCAACTATCACTGCGCTCAAGTTTGCAAGAGTTGTAATTTAAGCACCTGCTGTCTTAGCAGGGGCTCAAAGAGTCTCTCACTTGTGTCACAAACATTTTTGTGGTGCTACACGTGCAGCTGGCATCCATCACTTTTAATATGTTGAAAGCTGGCAAACAGCTGAAATACCTACAACAGCTTTTGTGAGCTGTGCTGCTGCATTGCACAGGAATAAGGCCGACCCTGGTTCATGCATGCCTGTGTTTTGGTCAAAAAAAGTAGACACAGCTGTTGAAACACTGTTAAATTCTAGCAAGTGAGTTAGGCATATACATACAGTCTATGGTTATTATCAAGAAAACCATGGAAAATGGCTTGATATCAGCACTTAAATTAAACTTTTAGGAGCTATTTTTGTTGTTATCATTATATTTGTCCAAAAAAATACACTTTTAGTTGTACCAGGCATTAAAATAAACAAGAAATGAAAGAAAACAGGAGTGGTCTCAGAATTTTTAAAATAATAATGTTTCAGGCTATGAAGTAAAATGCTGTGTAAAACGTCCTCCCCTATTTATTGAGTCAATGTTAGTGTATAAAACACTGGGGAGTTTATCCCCAGCCAGGTGAGCTGTCGTAATTATGTCCAACAGTTAATTGGGACACCCAGGCTTGGAGCTCATAAAACTTCTCCAGAATAATTAGACTCTCCTTTCTGAGAGATATTTCATGCTGCTCATTGACCCAGATTCAACATCACTTAAACACTGTGAAGAACCTCCTGCTGCAGCTGCCTGCTCTAATCACTCCCACCCTCAACAAGGATCTGTAGCCTCTAGCCTATAGAAAATTACTGGATCTTACCCAGCAGGAATGCCATTATTAAAAAAAAAAAAAGCTGTGCAGTGATATGACTGCAGGAGAAAAGAACATGAAGTTTTCAGAATCATAGAAGATTATAGTTATTGATAAACAGTAAAAAGAACAATAATGGATCAATTTCTGTCAATGTCAGCACTAGGCTTCTAGATGTCTTTTACCAAAGTATTCTGGCTAGTGGTCTTTTTATTTTTGCTGGAGGGCAACATATCATCTGATGACAAAAATAGGATCAACAAGATGATAAAGAGGGCTGGATCAGTTATTGGCTTGGTCCCATAGTCTCTTGAGGCCATTGTTGAGAGGAGGACCAGGTCTAAATTAAAATTAATCCTGGGCTACAAAGAGCAATCATTGCACTATGTCTTCAAAGGTCTTGAAAGCTCTTTCAGTGAGTGACTTGTGATGCCTCTGTGCTCAACGGAACGACTGAGAAAGTCTTTTGTTCCAGCAGCAGTAAGCTTTTTTAACAGTGTACGATAGGGTCTGACTTGGCACTGCGACATAATTTGTAGAGGTATTCATTTTAGTATTTATTCGTTTTTATCAGGCTTTTGTTGTATTTAATCATGTCCTTATCTTTTATTGTACCGCTTTTAAATCCTGTTTCATTGGCCTTTACTGTGTTTGTTGCGTATCTGGTGTAAGTCAATGTTTTTCTGATGTCTCCATGCTTTTTGTTGTCTGTATGAGTCTTCTTGTCCTTGTGGTGAAATAGTTTCCCCCATGTGGGATCAATAAAGACTACCTTACCTTACCTTATTTCTGTACAATTTTGAATATTGTGGATTAAACTTAGAAAAAGTAGAGTAGTTGTCAGGGAATTCACATTATTATTATAATTACTATTTGTTTAATTATTTTTTGAAGTTTCACATGTGCATATTTAGCTAAGTGACTTTTTACCGTTTCTTATTAAGAAGAAAAAAAAGCACATTAGCCAATCAGCATCGCGGTTAGAGTTAGATTCGTCTTAACAGAGCTGCAGCTTTGATGAAAAAAAAAAAAGAAACGCTGATCATCTGATTTCCATCAGGGCCATGCTGCTGCAGCTCTCCTCCCCTCTGGCCTCCGACTGAGGCAGCCACTCAGACTTCACCAGATATGACAGACAAAAAATATCCCCGGCCCTGTGAGAGTCAGAGTGGTAAAAAGCTTCAGCACACGGGGCTTACCGGCTGCCATTCCCCTTCCCTCCACCGGTACCGAGAGGGACAGTCCGCGACCCGGCAGCTCTGACTGGACGCCGGTCTGGACCGCTGAGAACAGCCGCTCTCCTGAGAGTTCCGTCGGCCTCCGACTTGGCAGAAGACCTCCCTACGCTGGATGCCGTCTCCACACGATGCTGAACACTAGAAACAAGCAGAGGTAAGAGCTTACAACACGTGAATTCAACCCTTTCTACTCCGTTTGGTGTTACGTTCCTCCACATCAAGAATCAATCATCAATAAATCAATGGCTTTTTTCCTTGTATTTGTTTCTCTAACAAGCGAAGGCGTCGGGTTATCTGTGCTCTGTGGTATATTTTATTTGCCTATTTTGGCATAGGCATTAATGAAGTTAGGAAATATTAAATAATGAAGTTAAATAAATTAAAAATATACATATATTTATTTACTTTTGGCTGTGGACTATTTTATGTTGTAACTCTACAGGCTTTTCAGTTTATGTACCTTCACATTTTTCTCTTTAAATTTGGGCAATATAGATGTTAAACATCTTGAATAAAATACCTCAACTATACTGATTTATCACTTGATGAAACATTTCACTTGTTCTTTTAAATGCTATATGCAGGAAGCACATAACTTCATATTTTAAGAATTATGGCATGTTTTGAAACTAAAATCACATTTAATGTTCAGAGATTAAGTTGTCTGGTTTAAATAAAGGTTCTTTCATGACGGAAATCTGATGAATGTGAAAACTGAGACTGATAAGGTGATAGTTTTGTGAATCTCTGTGAAGGCTAGAGCAAAAGTGTTTTTAATGAAAGCCTGTCTCTTCTGCTGTGGCTAATGCAGAACACATTTCCACAGAAAATACACAGAATAAGAGCAGGATTAAGAATGTGTTTAGTTCTTTGCCAAATATGTCAAGTCTTTAACCCTGACACAATCACATAACATGATCAAAGTGTGCTTTTACATACTAAAACAGTGTGTGTTCAGGCTTTTGGAGTCGATGTCTACCAGTTACTAATTTTTGTCTTTGTTCCTTTTCAGACAGAAGTTGATGGCTCTGAACAACATATGCTTCACTCATGTCACTGTAATGCAATGTCATTTACGTTGCCTTGAAACAAATGTTTCATTTTGTATTGAATGCATCAGGACAAAGAAAGCGAGTGAGTCTCTATATGTGTATGATGAGGACTGATACTGCTACCATACACTTTTGCAGGTCAAAGGAAAAGGAAGTGATGAAAACACATCCAGACAATCCAGCTGAAGAGTGATCACATAATCAAGAATTTCAGCAGCTTCAGATTTTTGTGACTACACAATTGAATGATCCTTTTACAGTAGTATCTGTATATCAATTTGCATGTGTGCAGCTTTACATTTGTCACTGTGTACTATGTGTCATGCTCATTCATCAGTAGAACTGCAGTGCAGCTTGCTGTTCCATCATGGAGAACTTGTCTAAAAAGCATTGCGTGAAATATTCTCTCCTGGCATGCATCCTGCTCCACAGCTGTTTGGAGCAGACACATATCCTCTCTGACGTATGGAGCACAGATGTGGCTCTGTGCTCTGTGCAAATTCAGAGAAATGGGACAAGAGGAAAGATGTGGGGAAGACAGAGATGGAGGGAATATAAGGAAAGAGAACCAGACGTGCTTTTTGCAGATGAGGTACACATTGTGAGTTTGAGCTGCGAGGGCACGGGGAGCATGAAAGAACGATAAAATGTGGAAAAAATGATCAGAGAGTGGACCGGCAGCAGGGACAGGGGGGATAAAAGGGAGTGGAAAAATATAGTAATTATGAGCTTATCAACAGTTGAGCTCAAATAAAAAGGGCTGCATATCCCTCCCGCTGTCTGTTTTACAACTATTGCGATACATAATGCATGCTGCCTTAGTGGCCTGGCATGGCGGATAAAGACAGCCAGGCTTAGCTGCAGATGTTTTCACACATCCTCACATACTTGCCTGCAAGATGTTAAGGATTAACATGGTGAGAGAGAAAATGCTGATATGTCTGGGAGCATGAGAACAAAGGTGGTAGAGGAGTGTTTTAGAGCAGGGTTACAAAGTCCCACCTCTCCCCAGTTTCCAGTCTTCCACTTGGGACATCGTCCTCCACGGCAGCGCCTCTGCTTATTGGGTTTGGGGGACAGAGGGTGGCAGTTTTCCTCTGCAACAGGACGGCCTGATCCGGTCACACAGCTCACCTTACGGGACTTGAACCCTCTTCCACAGGAGGCTGAGCACTGCAAGATATCACAAGAAAAAAATGAGTTGATTTGAAACCGAAAGGTATGTTTGGCATCAAACCGTGGAGCAGTGGAGAAACATTTCACTTCAGTTCAGATTGTTTGGCATTATTCAAGTGAAACAGCATGATTGGGATTCAAAGTGTACGTAATTTGTTCAATACCAGCTATAATGAAAACAAGTTTCGCATTCATCGGGACTTGAATGTATACCTTAAAAAAAAAAAAGTTTCCACGTGGGAAGCTGGTCCAATGGCAGAGCATGCATGAACAACCCGGCAGCAGTTTGTTTTACCTCCGGGTTCACCAAGTTACTCAAAGTGTAATTCAATGTGACAGGCGAACACACACATACACACACAAAGACACACAGCAGTATTAGAGGAGGGAGTGGAGAAGGGCTGGACCAGGCTTGGATAATCAAAGGGGGCGTTGCATGTGGGGATGGATGGGAAGCGACAGACACAGAGTTGAATGAGTGCGTGGCCCAGTGTGTGGTGCTGTCCCAGCAAGGGACCGTGCTTGGACGGGGCACACTGTGACCCCTCACCCCATTTATTATTTTACTGAAGTTGAGTATGTTGTAAGTGGTGTTAGTTGTTAAATTATTCAGTCGTTTTTGAGAAAAATGTGGTGGTTCTGTGTTTTTCGAGGAGAAATAAAGACAACCATTACTGTGCAAATATTGTGACTCAGTTTAATAAAAAATTACTTTGTGACAGTGTTATTTTTGCATCTGTGGAGACTGTAGTCCATGTTTGGTGTAAAATACTCAATGATTCATGTTTTATTTACGCATAGGAACATATATGCAGCACACTTGTTTTAGATGGACTGTGGAGAGTCAGTGAGTCCTCGCAGGAGAAAATGAGCCTTCAAGGTAAGATTTACGTCATTAGAAAAAGTTTCTGATCTTCAGGGAAGTCTTCTCCAACTTTAATCCTGAATACTTTGGTTATTGAAGAGCGAGTCCGCTGTTGTATAGCATTTAAATGTCCTCAGAAAACCTTGAGAATCAGTGCTAATGGGTCACATTAGAGCACCATGTGTTTTATAAGAACATGCAGGCTTCATTAGCTTTGCCCACAAGTCCTTTGGGGTTCTGTAATTATCCTGAGCAGCTCACTAACACAAATGTCCCTCTTGCACTGACTGGAACCTTACATTTTTGTATACATAAGATGATCAACGAATATACTGCAAATAAAAAATATGTTTGCATCAGTTGCATTTGCAGGATTTCCAGTGTTATTCACTATTGCAGAGTTGGTAGTTCAATACTTGGCACTTCCCATTTACACGCTGAGGTGTTCTTGGGCAAGACACTGAACAAATTGAATCCTGATGTGCATCCCAAGTACTGCACGGCAGCTGCGATGCTACTGGAAAGCATGCGGGTGTGAATAAATAACTGAGGGGCATATTTTAAAGGTATTTCATGATAGGAAATCAACTGTACATAGGTGCAGCCCATTTATTACAATGCTTAATAGAATTCAAACATGCCAGTCACCAGGTGGATTTGTCTAACTGACATGATTCAGAGCTGCAGAAGAAGACTGTGTAACTAAAATGATCTAACTTTAGTAGATAACTCCAAAAAGGCAAAGCATGAGTCAGCACCATGGGAATGAAACTGCCCACACCTTGCATTTTCAGCATTGTGTCCGGGAATCCTGGTCAGCCCTGCCCCACCCCCCCACCCGACAGATCACAGCCATTTCCCAGAGGTCTGTCTGTGTTGATGGGATGAATCAAGAAGGGGCCCCTCCCCTGATCAAACATGACCCTTGACCCATCAATACACCACTGCATTGTCCGGTTGGCGGCCCCCTCATGCATGGCGCTGTCAATGGCCCCAGCATTGGTACGCTGTCATCATCTCGCATTAGTCCAGAATAGAGGGGTCTGACAGGAAGAGCCAAAGGGCGCTAGCTACCTCATAGTGTTGCACGCGTCACCAGGCATTCCGGTAAAGCCGCGGTGGATGTTAAGAGTGAATGAACACAGTAAATGAAATCAGAGGTATACTGCGCCAGGATAAAGATTTACCTTGATGGACTCTCGACTTGACAATAAAGATGTTGTTGCGCAAAGAGATTGGCAGAGTCCCTGAACACTTTGAATAAGAATAAGGCTCAGTGATTCATGTATTTTCATTCAAGGCAAAAAACCTGATGGGGAACACTGCTTTAGTGAGTAAAAACCTTTAAAATGCCTTTTAGCTAAGTGGTTTAACCTAAAGTTTAACTAAAGGTTGAATCACTGAATAGTATAGGAAACACACTGTAAGTACAGTAAAGAGTCAGTAATCAGAAGTTAAGGGTGGGCAGCAGGACGACAATACCACAACAAGTAAGGTTATTGGTGTGACAAATGTTAAGAAAGTGTTATACTTCATTTACTTAGGCAGTTTAATTTGAAAGGTAGAGAAAGTTTTGTAATCTTAAAATCATGTTGTTTCATCTTGTTTCATGTATATTGTGATTTGTAAGAAAAGACTTTGTTCCACTTGGGCTTTGCTCTCATTCAATGCAATGCACAGCTTAAGTATTGGCAACCTGTCTTTTGGAGTAATCGTAAAAAGCTTGCTCTAGTTTTACTTGGTACATGAGTATGATCAAAACAAATTTACTATTGCTACTGCCATTGTTTTTTTTGCAAAGTCTGCAGAACTCTTGGAAGCAAGAGAACGCCTGATGCAAGTTCTCACTTAGATGAGACATGCTGACTTAAACCATTGTGAAATTTCCCATCTACACTGTTTGTTTATGGTAATTCTGAAAATAGAAACTGCAGGTTTACGTCCTAATGGAACTTATCTTCCCAATATCCTAGCTGTCTTTTTGCACAAAGGGTAAATATTCCTGACTAGAATTAAATACCACAGATGTAAATTATTTTTAAGTCCTCATATTTTACAGTATGTTGCTCCTTTTTACCTCAAATAATGTTTACTCTAGAGTATAAAAAAGGAGTGTTTTTTTTTTTTTTTTTGGGAAGATCATTACCAGACAGTTTTTGTCCAAGTAAGAATGAAAAAAGCCTTGGATTGTACCTCTACTTCACTTTAATCGTAACCTTTTCTGAAAATAAACAGAAATCCAACAAATTCATAAAAAATTAAATATAGACATAACATTATAATGGAGTAACAATAAATACAAGTAATTACATAAATGTACAGAAATATTCTTGAAACACAGACTAATACTGCCATTTGCAAATAAGAGACAAACAATAAACTTATTTCAAGAGCCTGTTGATATGATATATACTGCTGTTTGAACCAAAAGGTTGACCACAAGGAGTCAAACTGCTGAGATTAACTAGTAAAATGAAGAATAGGATGAAGATTACAGGAATGTGCTGAGGTAATATAGTGCTCTACCTCCACTGATTTGACCTAGATTTGAATTAGCTACCGTACAATCACACATGTGGAAGTCATTACAACTTGTAGTTCTCATTAGTAAAAGATGTGTGGTGTAAAAAGAAAAAAAAAGTACTCACTGCTGTTTTAACAGGCCCTTAAAATAAAGTTTGATGTCAGTACAGACATTTATGACCAGGAGGAGTCAACTGGGTGGGCTGCTGGAAAAAGATGCCCCTAACCACAGATTCTGGATCAGTTTTCACTGTCCTCAGCAGGACTGTTAGCATTAAAAAGTGTAAGATGATACATACCCTGGATCTGTGTTTAGGGCCATTTACTGCAATGGGTAGCCTAGACAACTCATGTTTTATGTTAGCCAGCTAAAACCCTTCCAGTGCAAGGGAGTGAAAGATACGGCAGGGGGGCAATCATAACAGAGACTGAGGTAGACACATTAGGTTGGCTCAGAGTGAGAGCTCTGAATACATAACACTATTAACTTGCCCTGCAGTCACAGGTATCGTGTTCAAACTGGACATTTTAACAGCACATTCTCTTAAAGGTTGAGAAAGTTGTTTGATAGACATTCAAAGACAATTCCACATTGTTTCATCAAATCTGTGATCCACTTTGCATTTAGCTGATCAGTTTGATCAATCCACTTACTGCTAATGCAAAGAAATAAAAAAAAAATACAGAAAGGGCAGCATCAATAATCAATGTGCCACAAAAAACACATAGCTGACCAAAAATTGATGGTTCAATTTTGATATATATATCTTACATCTCCCTTGTTTGGCCAAAGCACCACTGTAGTGTAGGTTATTATAGTTTAATGGCTAGTTGAGTTGTGTTTTGTTCCAAGTGAGGTATTGTTGAGCATAGCATATTAAGCAACTCCAAATACTTACTGTACAAAGAAAACATTAGCTAACACAATATAAATACTCATATCAAGCACCTTGGGAGCAGAGAGCCTTAAACCTATTGTTTTGGCCACACTAAAGGAAATCTGGGTCAAAACCCTCTGCCAAACTGGAATACAATGGCTATTAGTTCTAATTACTATAAACTCAGTGAGACACTTTATTTCACAGTGCTGTACAGCTGCTGTTTGCTATTGATACTGGACGTTTCAGGAACTTTTGAGTCAATATATTCACGCTTCAGTGTCAATGTCGTTTTAGGCAAAATCCCTGTTGGTGTTGTAGCACAGGGTAGATACATAAACTGTCAAATAAAGTGTCTAAACAAAATTAGTTACCTCTAGAACTAAAAAAACACATGTGCCTTGAGACAAATTGAATTCTTGATACAATAGCCATTAAAAAATGTTTAAGGTACAAAGTTGTATATAAAATACACGGCCCCATGGAAGTTGGTGCTCTAGTGTTAAAAACAGAACATCAATATTATGTAGCACCTCATATTTTGGGATTATGGGCCATTCTTTGGATTATAAAAGAACAAGGCATAGTCCTGTATATTCCTGATATACAAAAACATTCATCAGTGTTTGCATATAAACAACGATTGGCTATATGTGCGAAAACAAAAAGCTAAGACACAAAATAAATCACTTTTTAAAGTAAACACTATATACACAGGATAAAAAGGAAAAATATCTCAATAAATTATCTTTAAAAACAATATTTTACAAAACTAATTTTGATTGTGATACAAAGTGATCCTGAATTTTAATAAAAAAACACTAATACAAGGCTCAACAGTTGTATGGAAACTTGGACTGATAAAAAAAAAAGGAAAAAAAAAGGTTCTTATGGTCACAGCTGTCACTGAAGTGTTTAGTGATGTTGTACTTTTTTGGCATACCAGGTAAGTCTATCTTTGCCATTAAAGTGCAACTTTTCAAAGATCTTGAGAAAACATTGACCAATTGCAGGCACCAAAAGGGGTCAAGAGGTGGAGGGGTTAAAAGTAAAGTAGAGTAGTTGGAGTTACATTCCTCTAATACAGAAGCACCTTAGTCAAGCCCCATTCAGACTGTTTGTGAAAGATTAAGACTACCAGTATTTGAAAAAATGTGAGGTTGAAAAAAAATAGTAGTTTTTATGAGCGTACCGAGCTCCATGGGTCTGTGCTCCAGTGGGGGCTAGATGGGCACGGCTGAGTATTGCACTGCTCACGATCTGGGGGCTTGTCGTGGATCTCGCAGCTCAGATCATTGAAACGCTCGCCATTTGGACGCTGACACACCACCAGTCTTGTTTTTATCCCACCTCCACATGGCTTGGTGCACTATAGACAGAAGAAGGAGAGACTGCGTTTTAAAGATGGACTTTAAGAGACAAGGAAAAAGCTTGGCTGTCTTTTCATGAGGATAGGTTTGTCTCATGCCAAGCACAGATGACATGATCCCAGAGCCCAAAGTAATTACATTTCTAAATCCCCACAATTAACAATCCAGCAGTCAAAGTTACCACTCTGCTGCTGTACACAAATAATCCCTCTAGCTTTAGCAATCTATGTCTCTTTGCTTGATCTGTGTGTCAGGTGAAACTCCAGCTACAGTAAGCTATTCTCTGATGTAAACAGCAGTAAAGTGGTGTTTGTCTTACCTCCCCCCAGTTGCCATAGACCCACTGTGGACATGGCCCTGACTCACAGGATCGTTGCTCACTGGGCCGGCTGCGGTCCTCACAGCTATTGGCAGGATACCCATTCTCATCCTGGCACACAACTACACGCCGCTGGAAACCTCCTGCACAAGTGCTGGAACACTGTTGTTATAGAGAGCAAACAGTGCAGAATGTCAGACAGAGGTTCTCACAAACCCAGGTGTAAATAAGGACATTTCATTTTGACACTGCCATCTTTACTGTCACTCTATCAAAATAATCAGAGAGCAGTATGGGGACATCTAATGTCACATGATTGATCATGTCTGCTGCTTTCTTTAAATACACATCCTCATGGCAGAGGAAGCAACAGTCAACAGAAATACCAAGAATTATTTAAGTATTGAAAGTTATTTTTGGACAAAAATTATTGCAGTGCTTGTGAAAAAAATCAGAGAGATCCACAGGGTGAAGCGCCTGAGTCCCTGGGGTTGTAATATCCGGGGTTTTCAAATCACATGAATAAGACGTTATCTAAAAAAAATTGAGGACCTGTATACAAAGCCTTATTTCATGACTGTCTCTCAAAGTTATAGTTACAGTTACATTTAAAATAACAGGTGCGAAATGTTTCTGATGAAGCTGGGTTTGAGATGCCTCACCGCGCCCCAGGGTCCAGTCCGCCATTGATGGGATTGGCTACGCGGCAGGTTGTTCCTGCTGCCGGTGTTTGGAGACGATGGGAAAGGCCGGGCCTCACTGCGGGAGGGGCATTGAGACATAGCACAGTCCTGCTCTGTGGTGGGACGATCGTCTGGGTCACACTCACTCTCGTTCACTTCTTGGTCACTAAAGTTGACGCACAGTACCTGCCGTGTCGTCTTCCCCTGACCACAGGTTACTGAGCACTGAAAGCACATCAAGAGGGTGGCGAGGTTATTCTTAAGCACAAACACATTTGCTCTTGAATGTCAATGTACAGTCCCAATTCCCAAATTTCAGGACCGTGTGCAAAAAAAAATAAATTATATATATATATATATATATATATATATATATATATATATATATATATGTATATGTAAAATTAAACAGAAAGTTTAGAAGTCCTATAAACTTTATATCCACTTAATAATAGAGTAAATGTTTGACAGAACGTCAATACGTCATATGCATGATTTAAATTTGATGTCAGCAACGCATTTTGAAAAGAGCGTTTTGTTTCATCACCTCTGTGTATTTTTGGGAACCAAAGAGACCAGTTTCTGGGGTTTTGAAAGATCTGGTTGTTGCGTTTTGATCCCTCACATGTCTTCAGTAGGTAACAAGCCAGGACTGCAGGCGTGCCAGTTTGGCACCCAACCTCTGCTACTATGGGGCCTCCAACAGTTCATTTTAGTATTAAACAACTTTTGCAGAGTTTTGTTGTAACTGCTTTGACACATGTTCTTGGCTTCAAATGTGTAATGAACATGTATTTTCAAGCATAAAAATAGGATTCTGTTCCAACATTTGCCATGTTGATTTGCATTATTTTCATTTTATTGCATCATTCAAAATAAAATGATCATATTTTTTGCCCTAACTCTCATAATCTATCAATAGAAATTGTTATCACACATTGTTCTGTATTTCTCCAAAGTCTTTGGCATTGAAAGAAATGTCTTTGAGTGTTCGATCACATCGTGTTACACCAATGTGCTGCTGTGAGGAAAAGGTTTGTCGCATAAGGTTAGAATTCAAAAACAAACCACAAATCTTCCTTAAAAGGCAGATCAGTAAACCTAACAGGGATTATGTGACCTTTGATTCATCATAAAAAGTGATGTTTTTAGATGATAAAATTGAGATAAAAAAAAAGAGCCTTGAATTATATTCATTATGAAACGAAATAGACAAGTGGCAAGTTTGCTTTTGTTTTCTCTCTGTTCATCTTTCCCTCTTCATCCTTCCCAGATACTAAATGGTCTTAGTCTTGTTTTTTACGCCACAGTCCAAAGTTTGCTACCACAGCTGACACTTAACTGAGAATTTCCCTGTGATGGTCTGGATCTGTGCCTGAATGACTGTAGCCTCTGCATATTGCTGCAACTGTTAACCTCTGGACCACAAGATATCTCCATCAGATATTAAGGTGTTGATCTCATTTCAAGCTAACACTCGACTTTTGAAATGTTACTCGGCTTAGATTAATGTTGAACTCCTTTCACACTTCATCTTGGACTCAAATCAGTAAACAAATAACATTATAACATTATAACATGTACATTATATAACATTATCAGGTTTGAATACAAGAAAACAAGCAGCTATATCAACCCTAATGCTCTTTTTCTTCAGACTTTGTTATTATATATGTGTGGAAATGATAGTCTTAATTATTCAGTGAAACATTTTGTATGTATGGACAGAGATTTGACTGTATAGCAGTATTTCATGGTCAGTTTTTCTCACCCTCCTCTATCCCACCTTCTTTACTTACTACCTTTTGCTAGGATATTAAAATTACCATTTTCATGAGATTACTTTTTGCAAATAAATAGTTCCCCTGAGTCTGAAATAAATTGGAAATAAATAAACTAATAAAAAAACAACAATGGAAAGGCTAATCTTTTACCTTTGTCCAAGGAAAGCCTTACTTTGTGGTGAGGCTGCTTCTTTCAGAAGACGTATATTTTTTCATGAAAAAAGGCGCAGGCAAAGCAAATCTGCTGCCTGTAACTAATGGTGTCTCAGTGGGCTCCTCTAAATCAGAGTCCACTTTCTGTCTTGCATAAGTCAATCTATTACATTTATGCAACAGCTGTCTACTCTAAAACCTTGCTTAGGATTACACTGTCCAGAGGTTTACACTGCTGTGTTGCAATGTTGGGATACTGCATGGTTTGAGACACTAAAAGACGAGTTTGCATGCAGTCAACCAATTCATTCCAGGATACAAGAAATAAAGCTTTTGGATAACATCAACTATCATAAAACTGTTACAAAAAAGCCTGCTTTATCATGATTGAGGTTATTAAACTATTTAAGTAGTAGATGATTCTATATGTGTTTCTGTATGACCAATGTAGCTGGTCTAGCCTTGGGATAAACTATTTTCTTTTTTCTTCTTTGAGTTTTTTTTTTTTTTTGGGTCAATGAGTGTCTTTGGCTTGGTGATACATGGACTCTGGTGTACATGACTGTGTGTTTGTGTGTGCGTGCGTGTATGTGTATGTGTGTGTGTGTGTGGTGACCAGACCTGAAGTCTGGCTGTACTGTATCACTAAGACTCTGATGAGAAACATCTGTAAACAAGACTGGAGCCCCTAACTGGAGCCTTTGCTTTATAAATCCTTAGAAACTTCACCCTCACCCCACCTCTCCCTCTCTCTCTTTCTCTCTCTCTCCCGGTTTCTCACAGCATACACTCCTTCTCTACCCTCAATACACACTCGCCTTCCAGATGCCACCTTGTTGCTCATACAAACATCTACATAGCGTGTGGAGACACTAATTGTCTGAGTAGGTGAAGAATAATGGAGATTTAACAGAAACAAACAAACAGAATGAAAAGAAAACATCTGGATGGCAATATTGATGACATGCAATTTAGGATAAACAATAGTAGTGTCAAGATAATGAGATGCAGATTTGAAGGAGAATGCTCATTGCTTAAACTGGGAAAAAAAAAAACTGTTCCAAATGCAAAATTTGTTTGAAACTTAACTTTTCTCTTCATGTTGGTAAAGCTTTGATAGGTTTGTGTGCAGCTGCTTTACCCTGTATTTATCTACTCTGTTGGATGTTATGGCTAAGAGATAATGTGTGAAAACTGGGTCAGATACAACTGAATCAACAATATCAACGGGTGCCTTTCTTACCACTGTCCATTCCAGCACTTTCCACTGTCCGCAGGCCACTACTGAGCACACTTCCCTGGCAGGGGGTTTTGGTAGATGGGCACACGCTGACTCGTCTGCCACACCACCTTGGTTGTCACGGCAACTCACGTACCGCATTCGTGTCCCTTTACCACAGCTGGCACTACACTGTTGTGCAAATTAGACATGCTATGAAACTTGATACTGACAAAAAAAAGAAAAGAAAAAAGACAAACAAAACAGGAACAGCACAACTAACCTGGGTCCAGGAACCAAACCGCCACTGAGTTTTAGTGCCCTGGTGGGAGGGGACTTTGGTCCCTGGGAGAACAGGATGGTTGCTGGGACACTGGGCCAGTTCACAGTCCTGTGGAGGGAGGACACATACACTCATTTATGCAGTGATTAACAAAATGAATACACTGTGACAACATCTGTCCCTGACCACTAAATACCAGGAATATCAGAGGTAGCTCCTCTGACATGAAACAGTCATTAAAAACTCTAAACATATTGCTTCAGCACTGTCTTTGAGGGTAGTCGTGTTACACCACCACCCCAAACCCCTTACCAAAACAACACCAAGAGGGTCCCCCTGGTCAGTTCAAACTATGGATTGTGGCAGTAAGCCATTCAGCATAAAGCCCTGATCCCTGTCATAACAGGTCATAGTGGAGTGGTATTCAGGGCTCCAATGCCCATGCTGGCGTGGTTGTAAACTCCACCCCTAATCCATCCCCTTGTCTCTCACCTTCCGCCCTTTCTCTTTTTCCCCCATGCCCTCTGGTGCCCTTTGACCCCACCGCTTTAGGAAAAAGGGCCTTAATCAGGTCGCACAGGCTCTGAACAGGCTCCACATTCCACACTCCGCCTCATAATGGATGCAAACAGCCATCATGTCAGTGCTTAAAGTTGCTCTTTGCACATTTCCTGTATGACCTAAGCTCAACCTGCATAAACCAAAATGATCATGAGTGTGCGTGTCTTGCATGTGCACTACAGCTCCAAGGCTTAATGAAATCATATAATAGTCCAAACTAGTCCTGACTGTGCAGCTTTCATCACATCCTCATGTGAAATTATTCAGCAAGGCATCTCTTGCTTTCATCTCTTTCTTCTTTGCACTCTGTCCATCTCTGCCTTTTTTCTAAACCCTGCTTGGTCACTAGAGGCAGCTAGACTGGTGGCCCAATTCATGGCAGGCTGGTCTGAACTGCAACAAGGTGAGGCGACTGCTTAAGGGTCACTGAATCTGCTGGCCCAGACTCCAGACTAAAGAGCCACCGCAGCTACAAGGGGGGCCCCGTCCTTCGTCTGCATATTCAGCTCTCTGAAATAGATTTAGACCCTGCAGTGGACCACAACGACCACAATAGATTCCTTTGGTGTTTCTGCGTCCCTTTGTGTCTGCCGTGCCCCTCTGTACTCTATAAACAACACAACAAGTTCAGTCAAATGGATTTTGACAAAGCAAATTAGTCTAATTTGAGTATTAGAGATCAAGAATTTGTAGCTCCTGCTAAAGTCTTACCTGTGAAATTGAAGCTTCAATAAACACGGGAACAAATGGCTATTCAAGTTAGTTATTACATTTGAAGGATGCTCTGATGTGAGGGCACAGGGAAGTAAGTTAACACTTTCAGGGCAATCATGAGTTCTGACAGTGTCTCTTAGAAAAGACAGCAAGCGTGCACAGAAGTATTCTGTAAGTTTTAGTCCATGTGGGGATAGGAGGGCTGCTACAACCTCCCCCTCAGTCTTTCCCAGTGGACCAGACAACAAAGTTTTATTGAGACCAGGTGGAAAAGAAACGGGTGTACTTCTATGTGTGTGTGTGTGTGTGTGTGTGTGTGTGTTTTGGGTGTCAGTCTCCATGAACATGGACGCTTCCTTCCGTCTTCACAATATAAATCAGTTTGAAACTTGACACCGGAACAACTGTTGTGCTCATACGTGGGAAACAAAGAGAGCTTGATTGCAGTTGGCATAAGTATAGTGAATATGTTCCATAGAGCAGGAAAGTATGTAATCAAAGAGAAGGATGAGCCCATTTACCTGGGTATCAGTGGGTCTGGTGGCAGCATTACATTCAGTATCATCCATGACAGCACCATAAGAGCCAACTACACACTTCACTGCTCGCATCTGGTAGCCTGGCCCACACGAGGTAGTGCACTGAGTTCACAGAAGGAAAAAAAAAGGAGAGGTGGAGAAACATGAGCAACAGCGATCCAAATAAAAAAAAATGCTGAAAAGGGCAAGGATAGCAGGAGAGAGTGTGTTCATCTGAGCCAACAGAGGAACATTTATAGCATAAATACATCTGAACCCAAAAACTTCTCTTTTAGGTTGATAGAGATCAGATAATTAAATACAGAAGAGACTCATATACATTATAGATTGTACTTGTCTTTTTCCACCATAGTCGAGTCAGAGGGTCCTACCCCATGCTCTCTTCTGCTCCACTGCCTCCAATGAAACAGGGTCAAACTTGTGTGGCGGCAACTTCAACTACCATTTGACCACGCTCCATTAAACAACTTCAACTATACCTTAATGTGTGCACATCCTGTGATGGGGGCACACAGATATCTCAAATTTTTGGGTGTCCGGTCGTCTGTGCACAAACACAAATGAGATGGAGCCAGACGCACACAGACAAACACAAACAGAAACTATATCCTGTATGTAGACCATGGTATGATGCCTTGTAGAAGAACATGCCTACCCATTCATAGCTTTGGTCTATTTATTTTGGCAGGATATGCTCTGTGTCTCAGCGGGCGTGAGAAAAGGGCCCAGGGCCAAACGATGAGCTTAGCTTATCTCTGTCCTCTCACTGGTTTACGTCTGTGAGGGTTCATTAGCAAAAATGGACATCGTAAATCTTTTCATCTCAACAAGCTTGAACACTGCTCAACAATAAACAGAGGCAGTAAATGTGGATGAAGGTATGTTGATAATCCTCTTAGATACTAAAAGAAAAAATGCATCATTTTCTCATTAGAGGAAAAGTTTGGATGTATATTGTGTACTGTAGATTTAGATTTTTTTATTTCCTTGAAAAGAACCTGATGCCTCTGTAAGGCTCACAACATAATATACGATCCATGTGATCCGCTGTCTAAGACTGCTACTGTTGACCCTCTCTCCTCAAAAATCACCTTTTTATGCTGAAAACATTTGTCATACATTCACAACTCTGACAAAAATCTTTGTGTTGTATCACTGAACACCATAGTCAACACTTACCTGTCCCCAGGGTCCGACCTGCCAAGAGGCACACTCCTGCTGCTGGCAAGTCTGCACAGACTCAGGTTTGGTCGACCCACAAAATCGGTCATCTAAACGGTCTTCACCAAACTGACACCACGTCTGACGATGCTTGTAGCCCTTCCCACATGTCACGAGACACTGAAAGAGTGTAAGAAAAAAATATATGTTCAGAAAACAACAGCTATGGTTGTTACCAGCCACTGAGTCTGTTTTTTTTTTCCAACACTGTTACAGCAGAAGATCATCAGCAGGAAATGGAGATGAAAAAAGTCACCGTAATAGCCTTTATTTATGTGAGTACAGTGCATATGCATTCAGTGCAGAGTAGGTGTTTGTATTCAGCAGCACCACATGGGAGATCTGAAAAATTCCTGGAATGCAGGCCAAATCTTTCTAAGCACCTCACTCTACAGAGTGAAAACTGTACAGCAGTTAAGACCAATCTTACCCTGCAATCACAGATTTCCCAACACTCAGTGCACTGAGAGGAGGGGAGGAACCCTCTATAGCTTAGACATGCACAATCAGCACTGGGATTTTACATATGACCCACATCACTGCTGGATCGATTGCAACTACAGTATTGAGACTGGAGTCTTTTCATTTTTCCATTTGCTCGAGCCAGCTACGTAAACACAAGGTAGTTGCTCTCACAGATGAATGTATATATGCACAGGCTTTATGTAAATATATTTAGAAACAGAAACCCTTATATCAGTTAATTATCATTCTTCTCTTAAAGTCCTTTTCTATGCATACATTTTACAATAAAGCAATGATATTCATTGTATATGTTATTCTCTTAAATTATCTCCCCAGTCTTTTCTCTTTCTACATATGAACCATTTTATGCCATTATTGGTATCAGACTAGATTTCTTCTGAGAGTCTAGGTACAAACATAATGAGGAGCTGAACCTACCTCCGACCAGTCGCCAGTCTTCCATTGTGGACAGAGAAATTCATTGCAGGGTTGGACGGTCAGCTTGTCCCTTTGACTGCATTTGCTCTCATCGCCACCAGCGTCAGCTGCCTTTCGACACACTGCCCCTCGACGGCGGGTTCCCCCACCACAGCTCTTGGAGCACTGCAGCAAATTCAAACGTTTGAACATCAGGAAGTAGGAACATATACACAACTCCAGATAAACTTTGCCAAACATCTGGATCATGATAATACACAAACCCCCACATTTCCCACAACAATCTTACCTCCGACCAAGATGAGTACTCCCAGCCACCCGGATTGCAGTCACCATGGCAACCTTCCTTGTCATCAGGCTTGCGCTGACCGCTACAGTAGCGGTCGTCCACCTTCTGGGTCTTCCCATCTGTAAGGCTGATTTTGGCACAGTAAATTTCCAGGGTTCGGTATCCCAGGCCACACTGGGCTGTACACTCACTCTTGCGAGCCACATGCCACCTGCAACGAAGGGGATAAGGCAAATCTAGGTCAGGTATCAAGGTGATCAAGTGAGAAGAGGATGGCTGACTGGTTCATATAGTAACTAAAGGCTGGTTTGAAACTAACCTGAGTTCACATTCAGTGTTGCAGGACTCAGTGATGACAGCAGGTCTAGCTGTACCATGACACCTCTGGTCTGACACCACCACCCGGTCAGACTCTCTGCTACAGAGAATCTTTCGCTTGCGCTCTCCTAAAGAAAAAATTAACAGACTCAGATAAGGTGTTGGGAAAACGCCCCAAAATATAATTGGCACATTCACTGAAAGAAACAGAAAATGCCACATAGATGTTTTTTTTTTTTATACTTCCAACTGCATTTGCATATTTGTTTCATATTAAGGCTTTGGGATAGGTCCAGCTTTAGAGTTTTATCTGAACATAGATCTCCACTTATGAAACTTAATCTCAGCTTCTACAAGATCCAGCAAGTTGTTACCTAAATTTAAAAAAACCTACCCAAGTCATATATACTCCATATTCTCAATATTCCACATTCTCCATAACACAACTAACAATATCTATGTGCATTTCACTTTGACTTGTGTCTTGACAATCCTGCACTAAATCTCAGTTGAACAACAATACAGTAAGGGACAAAGTTAACAGTTAGGAGGCTGTCAGGACAGCCAAATACATGAAAAAAAGTGCTAATGACATAACATGTTGGCAGTTTATCCCACAGTGTGAACTCAGTGGTTTCCCTTTTGAATTTGTTATTGGTCATTCAAGCAAGGCAGCGTCAAAATTGAAAAAAAATAAAAAAAATAGTCGAGAAAAGTCTTTGAGCTACAACACATACCAAGTTTTCGAGTTTACTTGCAATATGCCTCTGCACACCCACACACTCCAACATATCCAAGCCAAAGAAAGTAACCGGCTACGCTGTACCAAGAGGTCAACCCTTAATCATTTGTCCCAAACCTATATGTCTAGCATAAATCTGTCAACTCTTGCCTGACAAACTCTCTCTTCTGTGTCAGGCTGGCTCAGTGGTTCTCACATCGCTTTACTCTGTCCCATTTCATCTTAGTCTCACCAAACCATTTATCATTGATGGCTCTCATCACCTCACTGTGCCAACCACTTGTGCCTCCCCCTCACCTTGGCAAAGACGGCTGCACTCCTGCCAGGGCCCATAGGCATCCCAGAAGAACTGCTGAGGTTTATCCTCTATGGGGATGTTAAAAGAGTACCTGACATCTGGGTTGTAAAGGTTCCCTACAGACAGCACCTGTGGAGCATGCAGACAGACAATGTGATATGCATTATAATGCAGTCAGATTATTGTTTTATTTCTACATCATGGATGGCCCACATCTTTCAAAACTAAAAGTCTAGCTTTTTATAAGGTCAAGACTTTGGAGCTTGTGTTTTAACGTATAATTCTAAAGATTTTTTTGATGCAGGAATATTCAGTCGTGCAACCACTTATAAAACTATTCTACTTTTGAAACTTCTACATCACATATCTCACCCTTTAGTAAGTAGCGCTTACCTGGACAATGATCTCCTCCTCAATGCGCTCAGTACAGTTGATCCTCTCAATGACATGGTCAGAGCCACTGTATTCTATGATGGCATTTCCCACTTTGATTTCCCTTTTGAACATGCTGACCACAAACTCCCCATTAAGCAGGAACTCTCCACGGCTATTTGATATGGCTGCAGGGAGGCAGAGGACAACAGTCACTTTCTTTGCTTGATCCCATTTGAGGAGGGAGGCAGAATGAGCTTTATTTAATATGAAACAAAGAGCTTTCATAGGATGAAGCCACTTAAGAGCATGGTGACTAAAGCGACATTTTACAGGACAGCAAGAGCAGCGGGAGCGGTAAAGTCTAATGGGGTAAAGTAATCCTCTATTCCCTAAGAAGTCCCATCCAGGGGCGTCCCATTCTGTTCAACGGCCAGTCTGCTGCACTCATTCACCTTAATGGGATTATGGAGCTAATTTCCTGCCTTTACTTTCCTCGCCATTTCACACATTACACTAATATGATCATGGAGAGCAGCCCCTACTCCAGTTGAATCATCACCACTTTGGGCCCCTTGTGACTGTGCTCTTGCACACAGCTTGACATATAAACAAGCAAAAGGCAAATAAACACGCGTACAGAGCCTTAAAACACAACAATAATTACTGCAATGAGCAGTATACACTCCGCACCTGCAGACACACACATGTTGACCTTGATGGAATGGTAGCCAAAGGGCTTTCCAAACTCAAGTTTAAGCGTGCTTTTGCCAACACGTAGACTAATAGCTGACAAAGCAGCTATTAGTGTACAGAAGTGATATTTGGACTGACAGATAGCATATGGTACAGAAAGCCACACGTTTACAGAACAAAAGAAAATACACACCTGCGAAAATGCATGTGGGAGACAAACCAACAAGCTTTGCTGGATTGGCACCCACTAACTTTATGGCTCATTAACATTTAAGAGTGCATGCTAGATGCCAATTCTGCACTTAGCAATACAGAACCTAAACTTAAAACGTGAATATGCTTATTCAAAGAGAAGCACAGACAAATCACGGAGATGAAAGTAGGAGCTTATAACAGCACGGCCTACAAAAGGCCTAAAACAGTACAAAGAGAATATTTCAAACAATGATCGATTGGAACAACAACAGTAGTTTTTAATCAAACTAAAGGATGTCTTACCGAGGTAGTTGTCATCCTCTGGTTTCCCTGAATAGCTGTGCTGTCGCACATCTATGTTTGTAGCACCAATGGGTATTCGCACTACTTCATTATAGCCTGTAAATGGTGTGAACAATAGCTTGACATTATTATGATTATAGTACATAGAATAAAACAAATTGTCATGATAAAAGATGATGAAGCTCACCATAGCGAACGATGTTGAAAGTGCCTGCCACAGTTTTACAGGACGAGTTGTCGCCTCCACATACGCCACACTTGTCCCTTCTGGCTTTTGAGTTCAGTACATGGTCACAGCCTGCTTGCTGGAGCGGCAGGAGGATGGTGGAGGAAACAATAATGTGAAAGTTAACAGAGGAGTAAATGAGGACCGGTGCTATGAGTAACAGAAGTCAGAAAACAACATCAGATTTCGTATCGCAATGCACTATTAAAGCTCCTGCGAGGGGTTATGACGCTAGTTATGGAACAGACTGAAAGTCATAGTGATGTCTCTTTAAGACACACAAGAGGAAATGCGTCAATGAGCATAAATATCGACTCTCTCTATATGGTAACTCTTTACATCAAGTTGAGGTAAGTATCGGTTGGAGCGATTGACTGCACCCTGCCATTCCCACCGCTGATAAGTTATATATGGGACTGTTTTGTTGAAAACACACCTAAAGCATGTATGAAGCTGAAGAGAAAGCAAGGACATGAAAGGTCTGCGTTTGTGCACAGGGGGCGCCAAAATCAACATAAACCAAAAGTTTGTCTCAGAGGCTTTAAACAACAAAAACAGCCAAGTCACATTGTTGGAGATGAAATGATAAATAAGCATTTATTATTATTCAAACCCAGTGACCCATAAAATAGTTGCACAAGGTCTCTTTGATTTCATCCATATCACTGACTCGCATGTGAAAATAATTTCCTTCCAAAAAACCACGCTGGAAATGGCACGATCTGCTCTGCTTGTCATTACTGAGTTGTGGATACTGATTCTTCATTAAAGGGTGAAAACCTACTTCTAATGCCACTGCACAAATAAAAAATCGACTTACTGAGACCAGGAAGGCAAATTTAATTGAACCTCAATCCAACCAAAACATTGTGTGTGGTTTAGAGTGTACACAGAGAAGCCCACCACTTCTTTGGAGAGGCAAACTGATGTGCATGGTATGTTAGTAATCAAGCTTTCAAACTCAAAGTCTATCCGTCAAAGGTTTAAAGCAATAAACACATTTGGGTTTGGAGAGGATGCTGAAACCTTTTGGAAATGATTAAACTGATCCACATGATAACTTTCCAAAAATGTTCACAGTCAGAACCTGATGTTTTTATGATAGAATTAGCTGCATGTATGCATTGGAGCTAATGATCAAGAAAGATCACTCACCCTGCACAGTCCCTGGACACAGATGTCATTAGTATCAGGTCCACATGGTGTGCCATCAATGACCCGGTCCCTGAGCTGATAGTAGGCTGTGCTGCCTGCCACCCTGCAGAATAGCTTACACCTGTCCTTCATCAAGACTGACAGAGAGGGTAAAACAGAGACAAAATTTCATACAAATATACGCTTGTGCCAAACTCAAATTATGTGTATTAAGGGAAACAACTTTGGCAAAAGCAAAGAGCTGCTGGAATGTTATTCTTACTTCCGCTGTACTTGGGTACCCAGCGAACATTAGGAGGTAGACCGTTGATGTTAAAGTGCCTGCCATCAAAAGCTGCACATTGCTCCTCCCTGAAGTCTTTCTTCTGCCTGGAGCAGGGCTCAGAGTTACAGGAACGGAACTTCATCCTGCGGCCAACACAATACATCCCCCCGTTCCTGGGCCTGGGGGAAAGATTGGCAAGATTGGGTGAGTCAGTAAATTAGTCAAGCCTTAGTCTAAGTTGGACGTTTTCGAGGCTGAAAGGTAGATGCAAGACATTTTCTCCTTCAGGTTAAAACATTAATTAATCTCCCTGTTCTTACTTTCATCAAACTACCTGCTACCGCACACATTATGTGAACGGCACTATTCACAGTGTCAGACTCATCATGAACTATTGTTTCTTGCTCTCTGTGAAACCAGGATGAAAGGCAACTTTCGAGGAGTCTAAATGATCTCTTTATCTCCCTTTTCTCCTTTCTTTTTTTTTTACTCGGAAACAACTGTGGAGGATCTGCCATCAGTTGAACTTAAGCTATGGAAAGAATTCCCTCAAGAAGGCTTGATCTATGCAACACTGACTTTGGTAGCTAAAATGGAGACAAGGTCCACTAGACATGAATGACTACAAAGGGAGGAACTGCTTACACGGGTCGGTTGCATTCCCGCACAGCAATCTTGATTCCCCCGCCGCACGTTCGCGAGCAGGTACCGAAGGGACTCCAAACTCCCCATGCCCCCTCCACAGGTGTGGCGTCATGCTCTTTGGCTATACACAGGCCATGTTTGCAGTGCTGCAACGAAAGAGAAACAGTAAAGAGAGGAGTTAGATGAATGAAGAGCGCAAGGATATGAGAGGAGAGCAATGAGGCGAGAATAATAGGCGTGAGACGGAGAAAAAGTCAAAAAAGGAGAGAAACAGACAGAGAGAGCATATGAAATATTATCTGTAGAGCTGGCAATACATCTATCTGCTCTAGTGCGCTTTGATGCTAATCTGGGAGAAATTATACAGTGAAGCAAATGAAAAAAATGAAAGACTAAAAAAAGGCTTTCACGGCTGGGTTTGCCCCGAGAAGAAGACAAGTAAACGTCAAGCACATAGTCAATAAATATATCTAAGTTCATAACAGGGGGATAATCTCACGCTCTTCAACAGACTCCAACATCAGTGTAAAGCGTGCTGTGCTCTGGCCCTGCAAGAGAAGCTGTGTGTAAACACGAAATGTAACTGTGTGTGTGTGTGTGAGTGAGTGTGTCTTCACGTCCTTTGATCTTCTCAGAGTCACAATGACAGAAAAAAAATAGGTCAGTAAGAAGTTTCTTTAATTTATCAGATCCTTATGAGGAAAATCTCATCGCTCGTGACTACACAGTCAAAAAAGTTAACAGAGTTTACAGCAATGCTGAGATTTCCGCTCCAACATTAAAATGCTTATGTAAAATGTCATCACGATGAGTCCCTGGGCTCGGGAAAGCCTCTGGATTAAAACCAGGCAATGTGGTGAGGAAACTGAGATTGTAGCATTGAACAATATGACTATTAAAACATAATACGATGCAAGAACATGACAGTCAAAGAGGTTGTCAAAACCTCATGAATTTAACACTCAACTCCTCATTTTCTGATTATGACTCAATCTCTTGGTAGAATATGTCTTTTTCTCCCTCTATTGCTCCTGTAAATGCTACAGACAGCTGCTCACTCCAAGCGCCCTTCCTTCTGCTCATTTCACTTACCTTTCCAGGGGAGCAGTCTGTGCCGTCAGCCCAGGGCATGTGCTGGGTCCTGCAGCCTCTTTGGGCGCCCTCAGGACTGGTGCACCACAGCCTCCTACACTGGGTCTGAGAAACACACAAACACAACAAATATCAACACGGATTTTGAAGTAAAATAAAAAGAGAATTCCAATAAAGAAAACAAACCCACAGTGCCAAAGGCTTGCACACATATTATTATATTAGAGCCAACAAGGTACATATGCATAGATGAATGGTTTGATGTGTCTTAAATTTCTCGATATCTGCATGCGTGTTAAAATAAAGCCGATTAACCCATTGTGTGACCTCGTAGGCTTCAGACTCAGCTGAGGAGGTCCGCAGCACATGTTAATAACAGAGGAGGCTTCTCCCAGAGAACTGCATATGCAACATGACAGTTTAGATTAACACACCAAGTCCACTCACCATATAAGGGCACACCTGCGTCCCCGGCCCAAATATCAATTCACACTGTTTATTGACATTGTATATCCGTCCAGGCAGCTGCTGCGAGAGACTGTACGGCCTAGAAACGGGCTCATCAAGCAAGCATTCACCATATCCTGTGCTATTAAGAAATAAAAATAAAATGACTTAAAGAAAAAGGGAAAAACAAGAGACACAAAAAGACAGACAAAAAACACACTCAGTACAGCGGAGAGGTCACTTTTTTTTCTACACATATAGATGTAGCACCCCTACTGTACACACAGTTTTCTCAGATTTCTGTGTATGTGCAGTCAACTGTATTGAGTAAGTGATGTTTCAGGAGCTTGATGAGGAGGACTCTGGGTAGAGAGAGTTCATGAGATTTCTCAGAGGTTCCTTTTGAAGAGAAGAGACTGGAGAGACTGCAGCAGCCCAAAGAAACTTCAATAATTTAGTGTGGCTACTTTTAAAATGGGTCTAATATAGCCAAAAGTGAAAAAAGAGATATACATAAACTGCTATTTAATTGTGTGTGTTATTATGTTAAAGATAACATATGTAGGAGAATCATCTAATTCTCCAAATCCACATGCATGTTGTGAAACCACTTAGAAGAAAAGAGGGCAACATACTCAAGGAACTCGGTGATGTACTTCCTGCTACACTTGGACCACATCCAGGGGTTTGTATTGTAATTAAGTGTGGGAGCCATCACATGTTGCTGAACCTTTACTCCATCCTCTTTACACTTGATACTGTCATCATGAGGCATGTTGAACCTAAAAGGAGAGATAAACATATCAGCTGGTGGACAGTGTCATAAAACATGTAATGAAAGAAGTATGGAGGGCTGAGACTTTTTTTCTTTTCTTCTTCTGGTACTATTTCTGTTGTTTGTCTTTGTCCCACAGATGCTCGACTGTGTGAGACAACTGTCTGGCTGAGATAAATATTACAAAAGCCAGTGTTAGAATTAAAAATGCATCGCTTTTGGCAGGAACTTCAAGGTTTTAAGTGAGCGTTTCTCAAAGAACAAAGAAAATAACACCCAGAGAAAAATTGCTTGTTCGTGTGTTGTAGTTTTTCATTTATTCTGCCACATGTTTTTCATCTAAACACCAATCCTATATTTTCACTGTCGCTGATGCTGGCTGTGGGAAACCCATTCAGGGTTGTTGTTGAAAATAATGCAGAGCATTTGTATTGCCTGCCTGTGGGGAGTCTGGAAAGAAACCAGCACAATATTAAATTATATGAACACTGGGCAACCAGCATAGCAGAAAAATTTGGATGTGAAAATCAGAGCACAGTAAGTATAAGAGAAGCATTCAAGCGCCTGCCGGGTGAATAATAAGATCCTGGTTGGTGGTAACCAGGTACATTAGACTCCCCACAGTCCTCTTTCAGCTGCTCAGCTCCCCACCTTACAGGTACCATGTAACACTGAGCTCAGGGGCTTATCAGTCACCATGCTCGTTGTCAAAGCCTGATGCACATAAACATGGAATTGAACAATCCCGCTTCTTTTTAAGAGGCTGTAGTGAGCATTTGTTAAAGGTGACGGGGGCTGTAAAGATTTGTAACAGTCTCCACTGTAGACGCCCCCTTTTCCACCCTCCCTCTTCCACCCAGCTCTGACTGATTCAGGCTGTTGGATCATGCAGAACCAGCTGAAGGGTTTCTTTACTTCTGGAAAGTCCAATTTGCAGACTCTTTCCCTAACTTCTTTTAAGATTAAATGCAGGTAAAAATTAAAAGAGTGTGATCAGAAACACAAAAGCCTCAGAAACTGAAGGAAAAAAAGGAATGCACTGCTTTTGTGTTACTGTCCAAATATGCAAGATTCCTTGATCCTCATTCGTGAGTGAGGCATGTTTGGATTCCTAGAAAGACCTCTAAAGCTCTACCAATGTCTCCCTGAAGCCAAAATTCTCATCAGCTAGGAGTGATGACAGTACTTTAGTAAACAGTCAGTGAAACATGCTGTGCTTACACATGGCCAAGTTCATGGGCGATGGTGAAGGCAGTGCTGAGTCCGTTGTCTTCACTTATGCTGCAGCTCCTGTATGGATCACACACAGTGCCCAACTCTGCAAGTCCTTGAAAACAGGAGGGGGGAAAAAGACTGTTTCAGTTTTTTTTTGTTTTCAGGATCAGTTGTGAATCACATTACGCATGTTTATGACACATGAAAATAGAAATCCATGTACCTAAGGTGTCACACTTATCCCTCGCTCTGCAGATGTCCTGCCTGAGGTGAAGACAAACAAATCGGCTCGTCAACAGTTCAGTCAATTTTTATTACAATGTTATACGGTCAGAGGGATAACTGACTGTACGTTCTGTTCAGGATCTACCGCATGCTGCTATTAACATGATAACTTTATTAACAAATATTTCTTGCACCTGGTAATGAGGATGGCAGTGTCATGATGCGAATGGTGGTTATCATCCAGGATGTTCTGGCTCTGTTGCCAAATGCAGAAGTTCTTTAAAGTGGTCTGTGCATTGAAAGAAATGACTGGACCATCCTAGAAAACATAAAGTAAAAAAATTAATAACATAACTTTGTTAACAAGTGAAACTTTTGGTAGACGTGAAAAATTGAGCTAAATACCAATCATGAAGCAGCCTTACCTGCTCATTGTTTATTATTACTAACTTTACAATCACAATGTTAATCAGGTTGCCAATGCTGGGATCTTTGTAGATGGAAGATACCTGCATGAAAGAAGCAAAACGTGAACCAAACCATCTGAATGACAGCATTTAAAAGATAACATGAGATCCTGGGATAGTGGAGGGTCCAAGGCTACGATAAATAACTTTTGCAACGTTTTCATTAACTTAAACCACTTGATTAAAAGGTTTTAAAACAAATTCGACACAGAAAAGTGTTATGTTTCTGAATGGGTGGTTGAAAACAGTTTCAAAAACAAGAGTTGGACATTGCAGTCCATACTAAAAACCTTTTAACATACATTGGACTGTCACTGACAGTCAGTAAGGAATGGAAATGCATATAATCTTAGGGTGTTAGGATCTAAAACAACACAGCAGCACTATAAGCAGTCTCTATTTTATAGTTTTGAAACGTTTCTGAAGTTGGACACTGGCCATTGTGGGATTTAAGCACTTCATTCAAAAAACACAAAGTTATTAGAGTGGATGCAGCCTTTCGTACAGACCACCCTCGAGTAGTTTTAAGAAAGTACCAAGGGATACATTTGATCAGAAGATCAAGTTGATAATGGTTTGAGTCCCTGTGGAGAAGGTAGCTTTTGCCAAGAACAGAATATAGGTCATCTCTACCTCCCCCTGAGGACTGTCGGCCCCAGGCGCCTGCAGAAGCTGGTGTTTGAAGTGGCCAAGAGTATGCGGTCTATGTGACATACCTGAGCTTATTTTTAACATTCATCAAAGCTGTCAGGAAGGGTCTACCTCAAGCTGCCCTCTTTTCCCTCTGGCCGTTTGAAAGTGGTGTTTACCCCTGCCCTAGGCTGCCCTTTTCCCTCCCACGAACCTCCTCTAAAAGCTGGCTGACTGGCTTGCAGCACAAATAGCACAGTAGAACAGGTACAAACATTATGCACGTTTAGCCACTGTCTGTCTATGAATATACATGCAGACACATCGCACACTTTCAATTCCCAAGCACCTCTGTCAAACACTTATCCCCTACAAGCAGCTTTAAAGCAAAATTCACGAAGCAGAACTTACGATGGACATTAATGTGAGTATGTAGTGCTGTAGATTGCTGCCGTGATGCTCCACCATTTTGCTGTCGGCCACCAGCATGACTTCAACAAAGCGCGGGTAGGAGAGGAAGCGCTTTGATCTCCTGTGAGGTCCTGAGTCACCGCTGCTATCATTTGATGGGCGAGCGCTAGCACTGGCGCTCTGTGATCTGAGCAGAGGATCGCTGGCAAGGCTGGCACTCAGTGACTCCAAGTCATTGAATACACCAGCACTGACCACAGGGGCTGCATTGGACACTGTGGTCACGCCAGTCACTGGCCCTCCTTTGAGCTTGTGTCTCTTGTGTCTGTGTTTGTGCCCTGGAGAACGAGTCAGAAGGAAAGTAACAGTTGTAAACATACAAAGACAGAGGACTGATCCAATCAGACAAACCGAGATGTATGAATCAGCAATATGTTTGAAAACAGACTAAGTCTTCATTTTCAGATTGGGATGAATGAGGTGAATTGGTTGTCTGGAAGTGGATATTGTTAAAATGTGTTGCTGCCTCCTTTGCTCTTTTGTTTATTGTTGCTCAATGAGTGGGTTGTCAAATGAATGCTGCCTGGAATGCCTTTTATTTCTCTCTCCCTCCTCTGAAAGAGGAGGGGAGGAGGGCAAAGAGTTCAGGCTAGGTAAACCTGGCACCCAGCCATAAAAAAATGGAGCACAAACTGAAGTGTACAAACCAAAGGAAGACTGCTCAACAACTGGGCGGCAATATTTCTCAACAATGAGGGGAATTTGGTCCGATTCTGATCATGACATGGCAAAAAAAACCTGCTAAATTCTAGTGTATTTTTATCAGATGCAGATCATCCCTTCAGACCACCAGCTATGTAGCACCAAGTAAACAAAAAACAGCTGGACCATAACACAAGGCAGTTTGCACAATTTATGACTGATTTAAAAAAAAAAAAAAAAAAAAGGGGGCTACTTAAAACTATTAAGGTGACAGTTTAATTCAGCACAAAGAAAAAATATACTCGGCCAAAAGTGGGTCAAATCCAGGCTTCCTCAGGCTACGATATTACACACACGCACACACAAACATTCTATACGGTACAAGCCAAAAGGAGAGTACACACACATACCCACCCGCACGCACACACATACACACACACACACACACACACACATACATTCTCAAGTGTTTGTGTGTTAGCAGAAAACTGTCCAGCAGCCACAAAGAAAATAATTACAAATTTATTTATCTTCAAAGTTTGGATTATTTGACAGTTTCAAGTTGGCATGACTTAATTATATCATTAACACTACGTGTTCAGGGCACTGGGTCTATCCAACTTTCTTATCAAAGAGGCAGAGGAAGTCCAAGAGTCAACAGGAAGTTCAGCCAGTAAACTGAGATGGGAAGATACAAGGGTGAACTTCAAAATGATTTTTCCTGTGTGAGAGTCAGAAAGCTTCATCACTCCTGTGCTGCAGAGCTCTGTGCAGGTTATAAATGAGCTGAGACAGTTTGACATCAAACCTGCCCTGTGGTTCGGTCATTTTGCTCCAATTTTGAGCAAACAGATGGATGGAGTGTCCGAATGACATAGTGCCATCGTGTGCCATCTTACTGCCATTTCATAGTAAACAGCACAAAATATAAAATGTTAACTTGTGCTTTTAATGAATAGTAAACAGATTTTTATTATTATTAAATTCTAAAAAAAAAAAATTAAAAACCAAGACTTTTTATTATTTTAGGAGGAGGAAAGCATCTCTGCATCTCTATCTACACAGACTACATAAGACCTAACAGCACTATGCAACAATCAATGCAAGAGCTTGATTGACTGTGCTAGTTATATTTTTTCAAGCTCCTACAGCGAAGACCTTGGAGGGTAAGAAAGTAGTAAGACATCCGTCTACCTCTGTAAGAACTAATCCGGAGTTCAAAACCAACAGCTGATCATGAAACATGTGTGCAGTTGTGTGCATTAGTGTATTTGTAAAGGCATTGAATTTAAAACTATGTTTATTTAGGTGCACATATTAGTTATAATTTGGTCTGTAACTTGTATTCATGCATACCCCTTAAATATTGCACCATACCTGAAGTGTCACAAGCTGAGTTCTCCCCAGATGACTGTTTCTTGGGTGCACTCTTCCTGTATACAATATGAGGTTTTGTGTGTTCCTCTTCATAGTGTTCTCCTTGATAGCTGTGTAAGGGCTCAACAAAATACTCCCCATCTGGAGACCTGAAAGTGCCAAGCTGGATAGAAAAAAAAAATACATGGCGGTTAGTCTCCATCCATCTGTAACACTGATTCCTTTCAGGAAACAACACAGGCTCAGCAAAGACAGGACATGGAGGAATGTACACTTCAACTATATTTTCACATGTCAGTGAGCCACTATTCCATAGTAATGCAATGAATACTCAAAAAAAAGTATAGCTATGGCAAGCAACAGTGGAATTTGGCCTATTTACTGTTCAGTAAATAGGCCACAGAAAATAAGCAAAGCCAAGACCTGAGGGCTATAAAAGAAAAGGTAAAATGAGTGAATTTGCATGCATGTAAGAATGGTCTCAAAACAGGAGGAAAAAGTAATAGGGGACCTGTGATGACTATCAGGGAAAGAGTGGGACTATATCTTTTTGGCAAGCAGGTTGAAAGTCTATTTCTAAGTATTTTGCCTGTTACTGCATGACTTGGAGACCTATAATGTCCCAGATGAGGTGCCAAATGCAGCACATTTGGAAGCAATGTTGGTCGATACAAGTATGGTGTAAGTCATATTAACAATTTAGGCAAGAGGTAATGACAGAAGTTAAGATGAAAAAATGTTTCCTGGCACAATAAACATTTGCAGCAGACTTGAATATCCACCAGCAAGGAGCATCAGAAAAGAAGCTTTGGAAAGGCACTATTACTACTACTGTGATAGAACTTGCACTTTGATTGACCCTGGGTGCTGGCAAAGCATGAGGGAAATCTCCCCCATCCCTTTCCTTTTGGGGTGAGAAGAAATAAGATAAACTTGTGGCCACCAGCAGTTTTGTCTATTTTAAAGTACAGTGCATGTGCCCCTAGAGGTCCTAAATAAACATAAAATATGCACCATAAAGTCATCTTAACTCCCTTTAACTCTCTGCAGAGCATAGGATTCAAATCTTTGTTGATGCTCTATCAACTGGGTGAAAAGTTGGCCCCCAGCTCATATTATCTGACTGTGTTTTTTATGTACAAACTCAAGAGTGCACTGCTCCACTCCTGAACTGTTGCATCTGCAAGCCTGGCAGTGGGACGAATGGGACCAGTTGGTGATGACGTCAGCACCTCCCATACTCCCGCAGTACGAGCGTGCGTAAATACGTCACTAACAGCCGGGAGAATGAGGCATGGAGGCAAGATTTGGACTGGCGTTTTCATTGAACTTGAATATGGGCAAAAGGGTCTGGGAACATCGAGAGCACACTGATATGATTTGGAAACCACTGCCTCTTGTTGTACCCCACAACAGAACTAAATAAAAGCTTCATATAGTAAATCAGACTGGAACTTTTCTGTCTTAAGTTGCTTTGAAACCAGAATCTTTACATGGACAACCTATGTGCCTACATCTTTATCTGTACATAAAGAAAAATACATGAATAAGTTCGCAAACAAACTTTGTGCAAAACTTTAACAGTTTGACCCGAGGCAGCCCTTAGAGTCTTGAACATTTTGCATTAATATCCCCTCATAATACCCGGTAAAAAAAAGTCACTGCACACAGTCTAACCGTGCGTAAAAACTCACCAGTCCGGAGCACAAACTGATGACCGCGGCATGTTCTGCTTGGGCATTTACTTGTCCCTTATAGAAGCAATGCCTTAACTCCGTGTCCTCTTCCTCCTCCTCCTCCTCCCCTTCTGTTGCAAAATCCGTTATGTTATCTCCTCGGGGTATTCCAAGTACTGTCACAGTGTAAAGTGGTGCGATAAATCCCGAATCCAGCGTGAGATTGAGGTGATAATTCTGTCCAAAAGCAGATATCCTGTAGTGAATATTTGGCGAGGCCCAGTGATCCGTAGTATTACCGGTGCTGTCGTCCAAACTTCGTCTTTTTCTCTTGAAGTGCACACTAGTTGGGAACTTGTCACCGGCTTCATTCACCCGCACCGGTGTTACAATCTCATAAATGCCGATCTCGTCTTTCACTGAGGAATTCAAGCAGAAGAACAACAATAATAATAATGAGGATAAAGTAATCTATAGCGTCGATGCACAGCTAAGAGCGCAGATATGCCAACTGATCGATTATGAATTTCCATGTCTTGTTGATCATACAGTTTTAAAAGCATTTCAAGTGAAAGACTGTGGACTTAATAGATACTAGAGAGCGCCGCAACTCATGTGCTTGGCTGCATACAAAACTCATTCATTCTTTGCACTCTGTGTGAGGAAATAAGTTCTCGAGAGAAAAATGCTCGGGTTGTCACAGCGGCATACTTTACCTGTGCTTGAGTTCAAAAGTAATTTCCCCGTAGATGCAACTACATTCAAGAAATCAGGGAATAGCAGGAACCCCAAGCCCCAAAAGAGCACATGCATGATTGTCCACGTTCAGAGGAGAGTGGCAGCCTGTATTCCTGTTGTAATACTGTATTCCTCCGGTCACTCCGGGCTTTCCGCCTCCTGTCCGCCTGCCACATTCACTCTTATTATCCACGGCTCTTTGGTAGATGGTCTCCGGCCGGTGAAGTACACTGCTGGGACGTGAGCGCTTCGCGGATCCCCTGACGAACATGCATACTGCAGAGGGGTGGGCTGCTCAAACAGTCAACTGCGATGGGCTCTGCTGCAAGCCTGTGCAGCTTTCTTCCCAGCTAGGGGCGGGATCACTCAGGCAAGGTACCCTGGTGATACAATGAAGCCACTCCCGTACACTGTAGTGACATGAGTACTCACTTATATCCACTTTGGATGATGTGATATGATCAGTAACTGGGGTACTCATTCCATCCTGGTTACACCCACATCAATTTAGGCTGTTCACATCAGCCTATTCAGGATCCATACTCAGGACCCCCCACTGACCACAAGATGACACAAAGACCTATCTTTATGAAGTATCCCATGATATATCCAACTTGGCATTCACTGAGATAACTCCAATAACTGTAAGTTAATGGGCATTTGGTGACCATGACAGTGAGGTGGGGCCCATATAGGAAATGCCTGCCCTGGGGCCACAAGCCAGATAATCTAGGCAGTGCTGTATGCTCAGAAGTTCATGGGATCACAAGGTAACAAAATGCAAACTGGCAAGCAGTGTAGTCACATAGACTTGTGATTTGAGGTCTTAAGTTGGTGCTGGAAAAGGTATTGTGTAGGGATAATGGTAATGGTTTTACAGGCTATAGCCTCCTCAGGAGAACAATGCAACAGGCGATATGAAAGTCTTTGTAAGTGTCTTTGTTATGTGGGGGATCAAAGAAGGGGCTGTCTAGTCTGTCTCCCTCCCCGTCAATGGAGAAAAGACATACACACACAGAGCCACTGACAGAATACACAACTTGTTAGACTATTTACTTTCAGCAGGTATGCTGCCCAGAGACAAAATTACACTTTACGAATTTGAAAGGATCCTGCTGGGTAAAAGTTTGTGAACTACTTAGATGTGAATAACTTAACTAGCTTGTGTTGACCACCATCTGATTCGAACATTTGACTTATAACATTAGAGTTGTGTCTTATGGGGTACATTAGCTCAGAAGTAAATCAGGATAAACTTGAGCAATTCTTTGAACTTAGCTGATTTTTTAATTAGAATATAAACATTAGTTATAGGGATTTGTTAAATCTGTGTAATCTGCTCTGTTACTTTGATGCAATTTGCACTGCACCAGAAAAATGTACAAATACAGTATATCACATTGAATGTCCTGAAAATATATTGCCGAAAAGTGCAGTAAATATCGACTAGCCAACATGTACAAGTTGAACGTATTTAGATTTAAATAAATAAATAAAGGGTATAATAAAGGGTAAGTTTAAGGGTGACTCCTCCTGTTGTTTTTTTTTTAAACTCAAAATTGGGATTAATTTTGGTCTTACACAGCAAACTAGCATGCTGTTTCACCCTACTTGGCAACTCAGATAAAGCGGACTCATTCTTGCTCAGGTCAGCAGTATCAGCAATGTTTGTTTTGTTTTTTTATGTGTTATGTGGCTTAAATAATTTTTAGACAGAAATATGAGCCACTGGTACGTAGCAACTTTAAAGATAATACTGGGTGTCCTAAAAGACTGTCAAAAACTGTATATGTCCTCAACTGTTACAAAGGCGTAAACGATAATTACTGGAAGGTTTGCAGTCATGCAGTGACCACTTAAGCCCTGAACATATTCAAACTCTTAGTGACTAACAGGCAGACATAATAGAGTAGCATTTGTCATCAATGTGTTAGCACTGGCACTTGTGCTCAGTGATGCCCCTAGCGGCCAAAAGTCACATCCCAATTAGAAGGTGCCATACTAGCTCTCATGTTCAGGTGATAGTGTATTTATAGTCTCGTGTTACTGTCTGCTTGAATCAAAACGGTCACTAACCATTAATGAACACTTCAAAACCACAGTAATTACCCTGATGTAACCCAAATTAAGATGTATCTTTGATGCAATGACTTCATACATCTTTTTTCAGAAATAAATCAGCTAAATACACAGTCAACTCGTTAGTAATGACATTAATACAAATAAAAATATAAATAATCAAATAGAATAGGCTGAATGATATATAACAAAATAATCATAGCAGTAAAATAAAGAAAGGTTGCAACTACATTGCAATATTTTAGCTAAAATCTGTTTCCACAAGCCATGAGCAGTGCATGCCAGCTAAAAGTAGCTAGCTAGAATACTAAGCAGGTCTTAAAATATTCATGATTTTTAACATATTGGGAGCATATCATTGTAAACACTCATCTTAAGTACTCTCTAACTCAGTCAAAGTTAGTTTGTAGGATAATCTGCATTTCTTATATGGTGGCGAGCAGGTCACTTGACTAAGAATACACCCACATAGAAAAAATGTTTGTTCAATGCTCAGCTAAAACTTATTTCACACTAGGAGCTTGATGACAGACAACAAGGACGATTCATATTGACTTTAAAAATACTTTATAATGCTTGCATAAAGCACTACACACCACAGCTGTTTTTACTAGACTTATAACAATTCAGTTGTCATTTTCACACCCTCAGTGATGTCTGTGTAACATGCCCTAAGCCTGCTGGTGTTAAAATGAGATGAAGTCAGGCACATTTGTTGACACAATGCTCTCTTGAGGCAGTGGAAAGTGAAAGCACCATTTGCCATTTAAAAGTGGTGTGCAATGAGGCAGCAGCTCCATTTCACATTATGTAGTTGTCAAAGAACAATGTAGTGTTTTCAGTTATAAACCAAACAACTGTACGTTTGGTCATATGCACCAACAGGGAGTTTTCAGTGGAAAGAAGTTGCTCCTAGTTTCAGTGCTCTCCACATTGTGTGGCTGTTTTGGACACAGTCAATCTTACCCTTCTCATGACTGCTTTCCCACTGAGCATTTTTTGGTCTAAGAGGTCTAATGGACGTCTAAATGTAGCCTAGACGACTGGTCTAAAATCAGGCCACTACAGGTCTAAAAAAGTTTTTTAGACATCTACATTTAGACCAAGTTTAGTCCAAGTCTAAATCTGAGCTACATCTATACACTGAACAATATACACTGTATATTGCTCAACAGCTATCATAATTATTTTGTTTAAGTTCTTGGAGATCAGTTATGCAACTCACATTTGTGTTTTGAAATAAATAGTTATGAATAATGGGTTAAAGTGCAACATCTAAATTCTGTCTAAAAATATACAGAATCTAGACGGTTGAAATTAGGTCTAAAAAAAACCAACTATGTGTCTTAAAGCTGTCTATTGCTCAGTGGGTTTCTGGACTCTTGCTTGATCCTTGCATGGGCTAAAACCTGCCTTGGGTGCCACACAAATCTCTCTGTGACCCTAACTTTGAGAGCTAAAATACACACACTGACACTCTAAATAATATAGATTTCTTCAAGGTCCAAGGCATTGTTGAGTGAAAACAACATGAACAAAATATCAACACCTTAACAGGAGTCTTTAAACCCATAGCAGAGAACACAGCCAAATCACTACTGAGTAGCAAACATAAGAAATAATGGCCAATGATTCTCTGATGTTAAGCACAACAAATATCCGTAACAATTACATCCTGAACTACTGTGTTATACTGTGAGATTCATACAGGGACACGTCTATGCCCCACAGATGCACAGTCTTTCTCTGGATACAAACTTTTTCTGTTGTGGTCCCAGTTTTTCAAATTGAGGCCTATGTGTGTTCAGACGCAAAAAGAGTATGGCAAATAACAAGCCAGGCCTATTGAATAAAACAGTTTAAACTTCTAACACTGTATTAATATCCCATGTGTAGCTGCCCCCTTTGAATTTTCCTTTTTAACTCCAGTTGAGCTGTAAAAATCAGCAGCTTCTTTGTCCTGAGTTGTACTCAGTCAGCCTACCCTCACTCACAGCCACATCACTACAGGCATCTGTGGATGTGCGCCCCCCCTCCTCCAGAACTTATGTGGTGATAAATGCTCACAGCTGGCACTTTACAGCTCATTTGTTGTGCACAATCATCACACACAACCAATGAGGAGGCAAACTTGGACTCACAGGTGTATACCTCAAACAAAGACATATAGAAAATGCCTGTGGTATATCCAAAAAAAAGAAGAATGGTTGAAGCTGCCCACAGGGTCCTTACTAAGCAAGAAACAAGCCAAAAAGCCTTGTCGCCTCTGTCATTATGGCCATTATGTGCAGGCCTGTGGTGATGTCAAGACTTGTAATCATTTTTCAGAAAGAACATAATTTCAATAAATTTCACACCAACTCTTATAATCAAGACTTCTGTTGTTGACAAAGGCAACAACAACAACCAACAACAACCAATTATCTATGGGCCACCCTGCATTTTGCAGAACTTTGCACTTTTTTTTCTAGTATGATGGATCTAATTGAGTTGGTTCTTCAGAGTTTCTTGAGGTTTTAAAAGGCAACCCTCAGAATCGCAAACACAGTCATCTATAAGAACTCCCAAATCTTCGCATAGGGGCTGGTCTGTTCCTGTGTGCATCTTGCCAGCAAATTCTTACTCGGGGTATAGCCTTAAACATAAACAAAGGCAGCTGTAGGTCACAAACCCCTTTTAAAGCAGCCTTTTGTTCGCAATTAGTCCCTCTTCCCAGAACTCTCTGTAAAACATTTTATATAGCACAGGGGTCACAGGAAAAACACTTGGATGAAATTGCCCTTGCAGCAGTATTCTGATTTGCAGCAACTACAACTTAACATTAATGTGTTGTTGTTATTTGATAGTTGTTACTGCACCCTTCATTTCAAGTTTAGAATAAGTGTTTCAGGGTTTACAGCAAATGACTTGAACTCTCCTCCCTTTAAATGCATGCCACCATCTTCACTGACCTGCTCTTTGCCCATTTCTCAATGGAGCCCTCCCTGCAGGCAAGT